GTGCATCGACCGACCATGCCAGTCAGGAAAGGGAAACAAGCAGATTCAAATAGCAAGTTCGCTGTGAGACACTAAAGCACACGAGCAAGCGTGATAAGCTTGGGCCAAATGAAAGGTTCTGCGACAGGGCGGATCGCACGGTCGGGTGAAGGTTAGGGAGTCGAAATTTCGAGACAACTAGCTCGAATCGCAGGTGAACTTACTCGGCTCTAACTCCAACTTCAACTCCAGCTCCAGCTTCTGTTCAAAAGAGAAAGCTGAGGGGTGAAGAGGAGGAGGTTTTTTAAGGTTGTGAAGCTGCGGTTTCCTTCCCGTCGGGGCCCACGGGTAGCGGGGTGCGGGTAAAGCAGCCAGCAAAGAAAGAATGGGAAAGGCACAAGGATGAGAGAAGGGGAAATGAGAACAGCAGTATAGTGCAGGATCCTGTGCAGAAGTACAGGGAAAAGTACGATCCGCACTACCGGTACTCGTATGGTGTATGGAATACTTCCAATGAAAAGAATATTAACAAGTTATATTTGGGTGCCAAATTTGACACTTCAACCCATAATACTCCGCATCGGGTAATCTCACACTGTATTTATCATGGAGTCTATACATCGTATGTGCAAGACTTCATGCACAGGCATCCCAAAGCACCGGTTGAAGAAGCTAAACCAATTAGGGCTTGAGATTCTTGCTAGGTCTCCTGATAATGTAGGTAAATCCGTTGCCTTTCTTTTAGGCCCATTTTGGCATTGTTGCTTTGCTTTTTGCTTTTCTTTAGATCTGTCTTTTTGGGATATTCCTAATATGAATACCAATGGAATACCAATTGCTCTGTATTCTCAACTCCGCTAGATCGACGTGGACCAAAATGTCGACCCACGCCTTAGCGGGATGCGGACCGTCTGGGCCTCTCATTTCCAGGGATTCCACTTGGTGAGGGCCCAACAGAGTGGTAAAGACGTCAAGCCTCGGGTAAGCGTGGCGCTTTTCATTGTCCCTTGGTGTACTCCGTATCTTCTGTAAATAGATCTGTTCTGACTGCACCTGGGGAATGTGCATGTACACCGACTGTCACATCCACACTCTACATTATGCTCGTTTTGAAAAAAAAACAAAAATAAAATAAAATGTTAAAACAAAATAAAACCAAAAAAAAGGGAAAAACAAAGTACATCCCCTGCAATTTGTAGTGTGCACTGGTAAATCTCCCCCTCACCGCAACCCATGGCGCTGGGTCCGTGGATGTGACATTCGAGCGAATCAAGTGGGATACCACGTCTTGGCCACCTTAGCGCTGCACCTTAGCTGCGCCTTGGCCCTAATCCTTTAAGGATTCTTTTGTGATATGTAAGAATGACCCTAAGACCACCATGCTGGGTCGTGACTCGTGTCAAAACCTTTCCCTTTTTTTTTCTTTTTTTTTAAACCCATACTCTGTACAGAGTACTCGGTACTCCGTACACCTTAATCCATATACAACACACCATGCATTATACGTGTCAACAGTCCCCAAGCCCAGTAATGATCCAGGGTCTTTCCCCATCGGGATACTAGGCTTCCCAGGACACCGGTTCCACCCCGGGCGCTGATTCACATTAGTAATAACCCCCGATTGTTGAGGATCTCTTCCGTACTCCGTACTCCGTACTCCTCCGTCCCGCAAAGAGAGGTGGTCAAACCCCGACTCGGTGTCTCCTTGCATATTACATATTCTGTACGGAGTACGGAGTACTCCGTGCAATGATAATGTGCAACAGTTAAAAATCTCACGCGACCCGGCGCTTACCGCGCTGATCACCGATCTTTCCAGATATTGAGGCCGACTCGTCTTTGAAGGATGTTGATCACAAACTCAGGTCTCCTGGTACTGACAGCTCATGGGATTGGGTTTCTCAGTGCATGATGCAGTGTTTGGGACTAATCTCTAGCGTACGTTGTACGGAGCACTCCATGCTTGCTTTTTCTTGCCCCTTATTCTCGGGAATTCCTTTTCAATTTCAAGACTTTTCAACAAGACACTGGAAACTGTTGTCATTTCTTTCTACATTTTTGTGATACACATGTCATATCGGTGATATACAACATACATAGACAGGTGTGTAGTGAATGATCAGTCTCCAAAATGTACTCTGTACTTCGTACATTGAAGCACATCACCTCAGTACATCGCACGCGGAAGCCCCACGTCCCCGCCAGGAAATTTTCCCTAGCCAAACTCTGAACCTCACCTTCCAAAGGAATTGATTAAATTGCCACAATAATACGTAAAATTCATACAACAATACACAACACACACACACACACACACACACACACACACACACACACACGCTCGGAGACATTAATCTACATCTCGGAAACAGTAATCGCGACCCCTCGCATCAGCCACAGCGGGTTAAACCCCAGAGATCAGCGTCTCTAGATCAAATTCAAAAGCGAGAGCGAAATTCAGCCGCGCTGAAGGTAAGGGGACTATCAGCTCTCCCTAATCATTCACAATGCACACGCTCAAAGCAGTGGCCTCATCGACTCTGTCGCTGCCGGCGGAGAATTACATCTACTCGATCGTCCCTTCAGCACCGGGGATCTTCGCCGCCATCTCATCAGATGATTCGCTGCGAGTGTTTGACGCCGCCGATCTTGATCGCGGGACTGTGATTTCGAACGCTACGCACAATGGTGTTACCGCTCTGCGGAGCTTCGCCATGGGCGACGCGCACCTTTTGGCTACGGGTGGCCGCGATGGAAAGGTGAAGGTTTGGGATGTTCGGGCTGGAAATGGAAGTCCGGTTGTGGAGATGGAAACGGGTGAGTTTGTTTTGGTTAAGCCTTTTATTTTTTTTAAAAAAAACGTTGGTTTTCTTTTTGGGGTTCTATACATCTATTGCCTGTTTGGGTTGTGTTCGGAACCCTGCTTGGGACAAGTGCATATTGTGTTTAGCTGCTGCATTTCTGCTGGCTTATTACTGGGTTTCGGGGAATTTATCGGCCCTTGGATTCAAGGATGTTCCTGGCTTGGATGCGGGTTTCGTTACTGTCTTATCCAATGCATGCTTGCTAATTCATTGTCGATTTATCTAGTGAAACAGTCGCCTGTTCTGTCTGTGGCTTGTAACCCGGAGACAAACACGATTGTTGCGGGAACGGAGCTTGTCTCTTCGCAGGCGATTGTTGCATTCTGGTAGGTTTCATCTTATACCTTAGTTTTGACTTGAATGCTAGGCCTAGTATCATCATTCGATAAATGTATCAGGACCTGCCTTCAACCCCCACGACAAGAATAGCCATGCTCTATCATCAAACCCAAATCCCATTAACCAACACACAGGGATATCCGCTCCCCTCAAGAATTTCGCCTCCGATATGTGGAGAGCCACAACGACGATGTCACCGAGGTAAGTGTGCCTCCATTCTAAGCTCGACGACCCTCTCCCCCTCCTCCCCCACGCCACCGTCACCATCCAGTTCAACATCCACATGGAGAAATAGCCAGACTAATCATGATATCGGCACCTTGCCTGGTACCGGTGGTACACAGCTCCAATATCACCCGACGCGTAGCAACATCTTACTCTCCGGCAGCACGGACGGACTGGTCAACATCTACGATACGACTGTAACTGATGAAGACGAAGCCCTGGTGCAAGTGATCAACCACGGCTCCGTACACCATGCTGGGTTCCTATCGGAGCGCACCATCTTCGCCCTCAGCCATGACGAGCACTTCTCCGTGTACCCAGCCACGGACCCGGACGATACCTCGCAGGAGCCCGAGCCCGTCCATTTTGGTGACGTGCGTGACCCACTAGGCTGTGAATACGTTGCGCAGCTTTGCTGTGGTGCGCAAGGGCCGTACATAGCCGCTGGGAATAAGATGTATGTTTCTTGCTTTGCTTTGTCTGGTTTTGTGTTTAGTGCCCGGAAGAAGAGGGCATGACCTGCCCGTGTGCCGTTGTGCTTGTGTATTTCTGGGCTCTTGGGCTAGGCTCGTGGGTGTGTGCTAATCAATGTCTTGCAGTGACAACCGTCTCGATCTTGTCCCACTCGTTTCCAGCCCGTCATGGAAGCTAGACCGGGATAATCTGTGGCGCTTGCCCCGTGCTCATTGCGAGGAGGTTGTGCGCTCGGTTTATTTGGATGAACAGGTACGTGTTTTTTCGGGAATGACTCTTGTTGTGTATTAAATCAGTTTGCTTGTTTTCTGGCTTTCGTTACTTAGAACCCTCGCTAATACCACTACCTCGACTAGAGTCAATCAGTTTTCACCTGTGGTGAGGATGGCTTCGTACGAGTATGGAGACCTGCCGAGGAGAGTGATGCCCCAGTTCAGCCTGGGTCTTCCAAGGCTCGCCCCAAGGAGAAGAAGAAGGATAGGTTCAAGCCGTACTAGTCTGTATACTTTGGGCGGGTGAAGGCATCTGCATCTGCTGCTGACGTCTGTCTTTTGTATATCATTGGGTATCTGGGGTGTGGGTAAAAAAAGATAGCTCTGCGTTTAGGTCAGATGAGACTCTGTTGTCAGGATTTTAACTGCTTGGTTTGAAGGATTAGCTGGTAGTTGTTGGCACGGTAGTAATACACATCAAGGTTAGAAATATATACTCCGTACCTAGATCGCATCTCTGTTAGGGCACAAAGGCTAAAATTGAACACGATTTTTTTCGTTCCAATCCGTCTTTTTAAAACACTCCAAACCGAAGCACACATCCTAAAAGCAAATCATAGAAAACCAATCAGCATAAAGAAGTAGTCGTATCCCGGATCGAACTAGGAACCTTCTTGGACTGAAGCCAAGCTGATTCACATGACCTCTGGACGGAAATCACAATCTTATCTCTCAACCTTTTTTTTTTCCTATCGAAACTTTTCAAGGGACTCCCTCAAGTCTCTATTCCACAACATACAAGCCCAAGTATTACGTGAAACACACCAAAATTCCCAAAAAAAAAACAAAACCAAACCTCATTGCCCGTCAAAACCACCACCTCAAGAGCAAACAAATCACTCACCAAATGGACGCCCAAGCCTACCTAATCAAGCACGGCTGGTCCGGCCCCGGCAACCCACTGAACCCAAACAAACGACCGGGTGCACACAGCGGATTAGGCCTTACCCGACCGCTCCTCGTATCACGCAAAGCGAATAACCACGGCGTGGGCAAGAAGACAACAAAAGACCCGACGAACCAGTGGTGGCTGCGCGGGTTCGAAGATGCGCTGAAGGGCGTGGGGAACGACAGTTTCGAGGCCACATCAGCGCGCGAGAACAATGCGCTGACGAGTGAGCTTTATCGGCACTTTGTGAGGGGAGATGGGTTGGCTGGTACGCTTGAGGGAACGGATAAGAAGAAGCAGGACGAGAGCGGGACGTCGACTTCTACCTCCAAATCGAAGCGCAAGCGGGAGAATGAGGATGAGGGCGATCGCAAGGCTAGGAAAGTGGCCAAGGCTGCGCGGAAGGTGGAGAAGGCGGAGAGGAAGGAGGCGAGACGTGTGAAGAGGGCTGCGAAGGCTGAGAGGAAGGAGAAGAAGATTGCTGGGAAGCTTGCGAAGAAGGCTTTGAAGGAGAAGAAGCGCACTGCTTCTGAGGAGGATTATCCGACGCCTACATCAATTGATCAGGAGTCTGATCAGACTGGGGCGGAGACGACCGAGACAGATGAGGCTGTTGCGCGGTTGGAGAAGGCGGCGAAAAAGGAAAAGAAGGAGAGCAAGAAGACCAAGAGCTTAGGAGGTGATGGGGCTGCTGAAGACTCAAAAAAGAAGTCTAAAAAGGAGAAGAAGGACAGGAAGGACGCTAAAGCCTGATGTGTCCATTTCGTTTCAATTATTTTGATATTCCAGCGCTTTGCATGCACGTCAGGATCATGTACAAAATTCTGCATATACCTGTTTTCTCTTTACACCATATATAAGCCAATATACCCATTTTGTTTGGTAGAACCACGACCATAGCAACCAAAGAAAATGTAAATGTCATTTGCTTTTTATGCATGGGGCTGTCGGAGCTAAGCTACGCTGGCAATTTCCCAGGATTACCTGATAGAATCCAAGGTCGTTTCTCCCAGAACTCATCTTTGATGATATCGACATGGTCAATCACGACCTGGGCTTTCCGGCGCAGTTTGCGAATCTTGTCTTGCTGTGACCTTGACAGCTTAGACTCGACCACCGGCGTGTCATCATCCACAGATGAAACATTAGCCTTAGGTTCCTCCAGCTCGAACTGTTGATAGAGGTATTAGATCGGGTCGGCACAGAAAGGAACAATAATATGAATTCGTGCATACCTGGCGATATAGAACAGTGCCCTTTTTATAAATCTCCAGCTCGTTGTTGTAGTTGATTCCAAACCGCTTGAAGAGAATCTCATTCTTGTCTGCAGACACAGTACCCTGATATCAAGTCAACTGCTTGTTCTTCGAATTGGAAGAGCAGTAGCCTACCTTTAACTCTTGCTCGGCGTCTGTGTTGCTCATTCCACCTTGAAGCACCATTGCCCAGAAGGTAGTGTTGTAGAGGTTATTGATATGACCTAGCCATCTTGTATTAGCCTAATGTGGTTCGAAACCAGGGCACTGCAAGGCTGTATAGCCGTGACAAAGTTACTAACAGTCGACCTGTCTCCAGCTCATGTAATCGCGGAGAATTCGGTTATTTGGGTAGATGACTGCACGTCCATCAAAAGATGGCAGAAACGGTGGCAGAAGAGGTCTTTCAGGGAAGTACTCGCTCCACTTGTAGATATAGTGTGCTGTGAACGTAGAGACAATGGTGGTCACTAATTTTCTGGACGGAAGAAGCTCTGTCAATGGCTGTTCTTTGAAACGACATCGCACATAGAACCAAAGAAGCGCACTCACCCATTACGTCGCTCAAAAAGTTGGCAGTTGGGGTGGAAGACAAAACTGTGCGAATACTGTCAGAAATTGCGAGGATAGCGATGAAACAAGCGAAAATACCTGAATTCATCACTGACTCCATAGGCGATACATAGGTCCGGAAGCTCTTTCATGACCTCAACTGCCGCAGCATTCATCAAATCCAGTGCCCGGCGGTCGTTGGGTTTCGCGAAAGCGTAGTGATCAGATAGTCTATGAATGTTAGACTCGGCACGCACAGATGGTTGCATTGTTGAACAGCAGTCATATCGAAGTGAAAGATATGCATAGAAAGATGGATATGTAGATGCCGTTTTTCCTCAATGTACGAGAGTTCCTTATGCAAAGGGCATCCCCGCAACGAGAGATGGGGACTCACTTGTGAAATCCTCGTCCATCAATGCGGACCACAATCCACGTATTGGGGAGCAGCACGTCCGGCTGCTCGAAAGACTTGACGTACTCAAATCTGTGTTCTTTTAGTAGGCGGATTGGATTTGTTGGAATTTCAAAGCTTACCTTGAGTTCGCCATTTTTTTGGATTTACTGGACTTTTGATGTAAAGCGAGGAGTAGGTCCGGAGATTGGAAGTGTCATTTGGTGCGGGCGATTTCTGCCCGCCCGGATCTGCCCCCAGTCACTTGAGGATTCTTGATTTGAGAAAAGCGGGTTGAAACTTTCTACTAAGACTATGGTTCACTACAATATCTAGATATACCAAGGTAAATGCAATATAGAATGCAAAAAGTTCTCGAATAAAACTAGCATGTGGTTGAGACGCATTTCAAAAAACCCGAGGATATGAAAGTCAAAGGACAGAAGCAAGATAGTCTATAGATACATGTGAGAATCATCAGTTCTCAATCTCAAGAATCTCTTCATCGCCAGTCTCACCGGCTCGCTCGCTAGTCTCGCTGGCCTTATCAGACTTGCGGGACTTACGAGAAAAGAATCCGAGGCTGCTGCGAGTTGAGCGGTCGGTGGAAGTCACACTTGAGACAGTGCTGTCGACACTCTTACCGAGTTGCGCCTCGCTGGCGGCATCCACGTCAATGTCACCTTGTGAGGATTCACCTTTCTTAGAGAAAAGTCCAGAACGATCTTTCCATGAGCTGAACTTGCTAGAACTGCCCTTGCGCGTGATCTTGCGAATAAACGATTCCTTAGAGGCATTGTCCAGGGAAGCTCCAGATGGCATGCGCTCCAATGATTCATACGAATCGCCAGTGAAAAGGGACAGGGAGTGAGATGTGCGAGAGTCCGAAGGAGATCCATCGTACTCGTGGATATCAAACGGACTGTCGGGATCATTGCTCTTGTCTGTGTCGACTTCCGACTTCTCTCCGGCGAGAACCGCCGTGAACGCCGGAGCAGTAGGATTCAGTTTTGGGGTCACCGGTCGATGAGACGATGATGGACGAGTGCCAATCGGGGCTTGGAGGGGCCGATGATGGCGGTCAAACGTATCCTCCACGAAATCAGGCTCGCCGGTTAGACCGAGAGGAAGATGGCCTGACGATCCATACTGGATTGAAGGTCGCCGAGAAGGAGCACGAGACCAATTGGATGGTGCGGCCCAGTCAAATCCAAGCGGGCTGTTGCGGTGTCCAGCATTATCAGTTGATGGCCATCCGAAATGGCGGTTGTCTGTCGAGGGGTGCGGAAGCTGATTTGGTGTGTCGAAGGAGGTCAACGAAGGTCGCGGGGACAGAGAACCACGTCGAACGCCACCAAGAAGCGATGATGGATCAATAGGGTCATGTCGAGGACTGAATTGATTGTATCCACTGCTAAGATCGGGATTCCCGCGTGTGCCAGCACCACCGAAGCCAAACTTGCTGGATGAGAAGATATTTGAAAAAGCAGCTCGCCGGGAAGGTGCATGATCCGAAGAGCTGTCTAGGGTGACACCAGCCGTGTTGCTTCGAGGGAACAATGACATCGGGTTCGCCCAATTACCAGTATAACTCGATCGTCGCCGGCGCGCACCGATTGGATCTAGCTCATCGACATTGCGAGGGAAGGATTGACTCTGACCGGGTTTCAAAGAACCCAGCATAGGAGATTCATCTGCCAAGGTTTTCCCGCGAGGCCGGTGAAAGCCGAAAAGTCCAGAGAGCTTTCGGGATGCGCTTTTTGGGGCTTCCCCAGCAGCAGACAAATGGGCACCTTGAGATTCGTCCTGTCGATTTTGAGTTTCTAGTGGACTGGCAAAAGTACTGCCCGCTCGACTGTCTGAAGAAACAGGCGACACTGGGCCGTGACCGAAGTTGTCTAAGGGAGTACTAGATGCCTCCATAGTTGGAAATCTTGGACGAATTATAGATCGTGGGAATTCTGGGGACTCCTCGTCACCAAGGAGATCGGATGGCAAGAGGGCGTCCGCACGGGGACTCATTTGTGGGTTATTGAAAGCGACTTCCGTATCGGAGCGCATGATCTCAGGGGGATCGGACAAGCCTTGAAGAGCCATACCGTTATTAATATTGAAAAACGCAGAGCTGGGAGCGAATGTAGGTGAGTGACCGGATGGGTTGTAGTTGACGGTACTTGGAAACGATGTTTCGATACCCGGAAAATTCAGAGGGGAAGACATATTGCTGTTAAGTGAGCTGCGATGGCGACGGGGACGAATGGTGGCAGTATTCGACATGTCGAGATCCAAGGTCGGGAAGGCAAAGGGTCCTGAGCTGCTGGGTCGTTGAGCCGTAAGCCACTTTAGACGTTCTTGGGCTTCTTGATATTGTTGCTGGGCCTGTACGTGCAGATTCACAAGTGTGGCATAACGTGCATGTAGGTTTCCTAGCTTGTGCTCCCACTGACGAGCTCGCTCGTTGTCAATCCGATCTAGCTCCTTGCCATCTTCACCATCGCCTTCTTGTAATCCCATTCTCTCTTCTTCGAGCTTCTTGACCCGTCCCCCTTTATCCTGAATTTCATCATCGATCGTCTTCATCTCCCCCTGCTCTTTCGCGATCTTGGCTCTGACCTCATCTGCGCGCATCGTCGCCTCTTCTTCAATCCTGGCCTTTTCATGCTTTGCCTGTATAGCATCGGAGTTCATGCGTGAAATCTTCTCCTGCCATCGCAAAATGTCATTCTTGCGCTTCTGGCGCTCCGCCTCTTTCTGCTGAAGAAGTCTCATGCGTTTTGACTTTTCGCCCTGCACTGTCCGGTTGACGCTTTCTAGCTTGTAGACATGCTTTTTCAAGTCGCCACTTGCTTCGTCTTTCTCTCTGACACGCTTTCGCAGTTCGCTGCGCTGTTTTTCAAGGTCCTTTAGGAGTGCAATATGTTCTTCTTCCTCCTCTAATCCCTGCTTCTCCACATTCTCATTCTCGTGCTGCAACGACTTCAAGCGGTCTGCTAATTGCTCCAAAGTCTCATCCTTGGCAGTTTTTGCTCTGCTCCTGAGTGATTCTTCGAAATTGCCGTGTGAAACGTCCGTGGTTCCAGCCGCAGGCGAAATTTTCCGTCCAGCCGAGGGCCGCTTCCCCGGTAATTGGCCTGCACTGTGCTCGCGAGCCATTATCGGGGCAGATGGCGTTGGTAGGCCGACTGTAGACCTGGGAATTGAGGCGCGGATAGTTGGACCCCCGGCGTTGCCATTTTGCTGGGCTTCGGACAACGGAAGTGATTTTGTGCGGACATGCAGGATCGCACTGGGCGTTTGAAAGTTTGCGGCACTAACGGAAAAAACACAAATATGATAGATATTCCCAGGTAATAAATTCGATATTTCCACCGCTGTTTCTGCTCGTTTGGATTCGCCGACTAGAAACCGTTAGTGGTTTGTTTAGTGACAGGAAATAATCACGGCATCTTATACCTTTTACATTATTCACCTGAATGATATGCTTATGTATTGAGTTATGGAAGTCGGGCTGTTTCCAAGCAAGGCGGATTTCACGGGCTGTAATCTCTTCGAGTGTGACCTCTGGTGGCGGAGGAATGTCGAGACCAAGCTTTTCGACTAGAACCTCATTTGAAGTCTGACAGACTTGCCATGCACGATAAAGAAGCCTTCATACGTTGAGCCAGTCGAGCAAAGAAAAAGCTGGAACAGACAAGTGACTTACCAGATCAAAGCCCATAAGATCGATACTGCGAGAAAAAGGGCCATGACGCCTCGCACTCTCACGCGAGGGACCACTGCTGGGTAAGCGTCAAATGCAAAGTATAGCGGCTCATACATCCCAACTTCTGTGACCCATTGGACGAGGGCAGCGGGATACAGGAGAATTGCAAGGATCGCCGATGCTCTCCGGAGTGGGCGGTAGAATATTTGTCACGTGATCTTGAATCTCAGCCCCCCAAAACAGGTTAGCGCCAAACGGAGATCAGCCGCAATGGGACCTCGGCATTCTTCACGGCTGACATAATCGGAATTGTTGGGCGTTGAATGCTGTTGACGAAACCAACAAATGTAGGAAGTACGGAGCGAATCAGAAGAAATCTTCTTTGTTTTCTTTTTTCAACAGACTGAGATTTTATAATCCCATTTGCGTGGCTGATGTTGTGCTGACAATATCCCGTGACAATGGTTATGTGGCCGCGTCCATTGTCTCCTGGTGTCAGTCACATGGGCCTTTTAAGTTCCTGATCCTCCATAAACCTGTCTCAGTCTTTTTTGACCGTTCATACCCTTTCTTTGCCTCTCTGCATTTCTAGAATTCGCTTCAGATTGGTCTGAAACTTTACCAACAGCCGCTATCAAAGGTGCTAGACCTCCATTTGGCGGGATGCAGCTCTATCGCTCTATAAGTGGTTCCGTCTCCAAGACATGGAATTCCATCAACCCGGCTACCCTTAGCGGGGCTATTGATGTCATTGTCATAGAGCAAGAAGATGGTATTTACAGTTCTCCGACAGGCAGCATTCATGCATCATGCTGATTTGGCTTTTCCCTCTCTAGGCACCCTTGCTTGTTCGCCCTTTCACGTCCGGTTTGGCAAGTTTTCCCTCTTGCGTCCGTTTGAGAAGAAGGTGGAGTTCAAGGTGAACGACATAAAACAAGAATATGCTATGAAATTGGGAGAAGGGGGTGAGGCTTTCTTCGTCTTTGAGACGACTGATGACATCCCCGCATCCTTGCAGACCTCGCCGTTGGTATCTCCAGCAGCCAGTCCGAGAGCTCAGAGCGAACCGGACATTTTGCCTTTGCTGCAAGAACCCGATTACCTTGACCTGGACAAAGGAAACAGGGATGCATTGTCAGAGGGCGCAAAGACCCCACCGGCGATGGCGGTGCCATCGAACAAGCTACGGGCAAACACGGATTTAGGTAAGACACATTACCAACCCTTAGATTTAATCGAAGTCTCCCATAACTGACCGTTTTGACAGGGATATTAACACCATTATCTGGATCTCCCGATGAATCCAATGTGTCTCGTTCGCGGCACGGCTCCTTGAGCGCTAATCCGACACTCGATCACACACATTCGGACGATGTGCTTTCGACCAGCTCCCCTCAACAATGTCTTTCTGGTCATTCAGAAAATGGGAACAACGAACCCCATGACATTGATATCGAGGGCGAAACACACCACCGCTCCCGTAGCCCTACTTTGTCCCCCCAGGAAGCGGTGTCTCGTGCCATTTCGCTGTCAAAGAAGCTGTCTGGTTCCAATATTCCATCACATGTCACTGAGACTGGAGATCTGATGTTGGATATGACCGGCTACAAAAGCAATGAAGAAGATGCCCTTCGCGCGGAGGTTGTTGCGCGCAAAATTCTTGCGGAAGAGCTTGAAGGAAGCTATGACATCGGTGCATTGATTGGAGCTGATGAACATGGCAATTTATGGATATACAGCAGCGAAGAGTCCAAAGAACTGGCTGATCGGAGAGCCACTCTTCACTCCATGCGACCGAACATAGGGATGAGCGATGATGCTCTCTCCGACCCAGGATACCACAGTGAAGGCGAACACGCTGTCTTGGAGCCATCATTGACTACGCGCCATCACCGAACGAAATCAGATGTTCAACCCGGCTTTCCCACACCCCCTGATTCACCCTTGCATGATTCTTTCCCCGTCGAAACCCGCAACTATGCCAAGACACTCCGCTTGACAAGCGATCAACTTAAGGCCTTAGATCTGAAGGCTGGCGCCAACACAATGTCTTTCAGTGTCAACAGAGCAGTTTGCACTGCAAACATGTACTTGTGGAATGGCAACACCCCGATTGTGATTTCTGATATTGATGGAACTATTACTAAGTCGGATGCGTTGGGACACGTTCTCAATATGATTGGACGTGATTGGACGCATGCGGGAGTCGCCAAATTGTACACCGACATTGCCAACAATGGGTACAATATTATGTATCTTACGAGTCGGTCTGTAGGTCAGACAGATCTCACACGGGCCTATCTTCACGGTATTTGCCAAGATGGATACAGACTACCAAGAGGTCCAGTGATCTGCAGCCCCGATCGCACTATGGCCGCTCTGCGGCGGGAGATCTATTTGAGAAAACCCGAAGTTTTCAAGATGGCATGTCTGCGGGATATCCTCAACCTCTTCTGCGGCAAAGAAAATCCTTTCTACGCTGGCTTCGGAAATCGATTGACAGACGCACTGAGTTATCGCTCTGTGAACATTCCATCTACTCGGATTTTCACAATTAACTCTAACGCTGAAGTGTCCCTGGATTTGCTTAGTCTCAACAAGTACAAGAGCAGTTATGTGACGATGCAAGAGCTGCTCGACCATTTCTTTCCACCAACTAGCCTTCTTGTGCACGACGGTGGTGAGGAATATACGGATTTTACATACTGGAGAAATACACCGCATGAACTCGCAGACTTCTCAACAACAGACAGCGAGAAGGAGGACGAAGATGAAGACGAGGAAGACGCAGACGAAGACCTGGTCGAAGAAGAAGATGGTGGTGAAGAATATGATGAAGACTTGAGCGAGGGTGAAGGCAGCGAGTATCTCGATGAGGCTGAGTTGGCCGAGGAGGATCTCGGCGCAAGCTACATGTCTCAGGACTCGGTTGCCTTGTCTAACCCAGCAGGCTCAATACTTGAATCGGTGGAAAAGGATCTCGGAGTCGAAGAGGGGGCTATTTGTGAAGAGGAACTGTCTCCCATCGCTGAGAAACCACAAGAAGCATCTAAGCCGAGCATAACCTCTCTTCCCATCCGGTCAAAGATGCCCCAGAATTCTTGAACATACATTCACTGGCATGCCTCTTTGATAAGGGATTGATTCCTGGGCATTTTTTGCGTCTAGATACCCATCTTACGAGTGCTTTACTGAGTCAGATTCTGCATCAGACTGCTCTGGCAGCGAGATATTCAAGTTCAACACTATTGCATGCAGACCTGGAGTTGGAGACTACACCATACACGGCCGTTTGTGCCTGTCTTTTTTTTAACTTCATGGCAATCATGGCGCTCATGGGGTTTCTGGATTTGTTATTGTACATTCATGGCGCACATACTTGGAGGATTGAATAGGACCATGATATAGATAGTGTGTAATGAATGTAATGAGTGAATATACTTGCCCAGACAAACTAAATGTCCCAACTAATCATCCACGGTTACTCTAAAAAGTGATGTCGCAACAGCGTTACTTGACTGTCTGTCTAGGTGGTTACGCAGGCAGCGTGCTTACCTAATCATGATATTGGCCGGAGAGCCCTGGAGCTCATGCTTCTTTTCGGCCTCATTTAACCAACACTTTCTTTCTCTCCATCCCAACACTGGAGGCTACTCGTATCTCTGCGTATTTCCTAGCCTCTGAGCACTGTACCAGGAATGCTGTTCGACCATATTTTCCAGGCCTTCTAATCATCACTTAATTCAACATCGACCACATTCGCAACACCGCAATTCGCTCTTAGCCTTCTGTTTGATCTTTGATCAGCAATCAAAGATAAAATGGCATCCCCGGGCCAAACACAGGGGTCAGCGCCCACAGCCCAACCTCTCACTCCACCCGCCGAATCCTCTTCCGCCGCGAACGGGGCCTCCGCACCGGCCGCAACAAGCTCCCAGACCCAATCCCATGTTCCAGCAACGGGCTCTTCAACAACAGCGCCACAACCACCATCGATCCCCGGAATATCAACTCAAGACAGTGGAAAAACGCGACGGCCACGGGACGTGCGGCTGGTCCACATGCTCCTCGCCTCACTCGGGGTAACTTCCTACCAAGACCGGGTGCCTCTCCAACTGCTTGACTTTGCCTACCGCTACACCGCCAATGTGCTACAAGACTCCGTGCACCTTGCGACGGAAGGATACGCCGCGGCAACAGACGGTACTGCGGCCGCAAAGGGCTCCGCCGAAGTGAACAGTGTTTCTCTGCCCGCATTGCGACTGGCCATTGCCTCCCGCTTGCACTTTCAGTTCCAGACAGGGCTGCCGAAGGAGTTCCTTATGGAGGTTGCTTCAGAGAGGAATCGTATCGCTTTGCCCGGTGTATCGCGAGGCTTCGATCCTGCTGCTGGCGCTAATGGCGCTGGTCCCGCGGCGAATCAGAGTGTTGTTATTGGTGGCATGCGCCTGCCTCCTGAGCGCTTCTGTCTTACTGGAATAGCGTGGAATATGAAAGATGAGTGGGATAGTGAGGGCGAGGAAGATGAGATGCCTGATGTGATGCAGCAGCCTGGGGCTGGGAAGGGTGTTGGTGGTGATGGAGCTGAAGACAACGAAGACGAGGATGACAATGATGGGAAGATGGAGGATCTCTTCGGTGAAGATACCACCATGGGTGAGGCAGGTGATGGAGACGAGGACCGAAACATGACTGATGTTTAAGGGAGTGCATATACGTCCGGAGGTTCTTCTGCCTTTGGTCTTAGGCTGGTGGTGTTTCTGGCGCTTGGTGTTGTCATCCTTCCTTTTCCTTTAATCTACGATCGGACGGTGTCCTGGCTTTTGCTATCATGAAGAGCATCTATTTCATAACTTGAGTGTACAACTTGCGGTCAAAGTCCCCTTGCCTGACCATAAGGGCAATTGAACCGATAAAGACATTCATCTGATCAATTAAAACAAGACATGCAATCGTCTGTGTGTATATTGTACATAATTCAGTCTATTTCATCGCTCGCATTCGGGATTATCATGCAATGTAATAAAGATGCCCAGCAAAACGCCAGCTTTGTTTGCCTTTGTGCGCCGTGAGAAGAGGGAGAACAGAGATAAAGTTCGAGTCCGGATTGACGATAAAGGTTCAGGGCCGATTCGCCCAGCGGGATCAGTCTGACATCTGTCTATCAGACGGAGAGGGGAAGAAGACCAGGCTGGGCCACCAGGATTGTGGATTATGGGTCGAGTACCTTGCAAGGTGTGGCCAATCAGGCAGTCAGGCCAGGTACCAGTCCAACAGCTCCCTTTCCCTCACTCGGACTCAGCCAAAAGACCATTCTCCTCGCCCTCCGACCTCCAAAAAACGCAAGAAGCAGAATACTCAAGACGCCAAAACCCATATAGACAAGAAATACTCACATAAGAAGTGAAGAAAGTAAGTGAGAGAGGGGTACACGGAGTGATTCTCCAATCATTTCCCTGCCGCTCGAGTGCGCGCTTCATCCTCACGCATCATGCGAATAACTTCCTCGCGCCGCTTTTCAACACGTGCTAGATCCTCCTCTTTCGCGCGTCGCCGTTCCTCATGCCCCGCGAACCACTCCTCACGTGCGCGATCCTCTTCTTCCGGCTTCGCGTGGGCTACCATGCATGAATTCATTGCGAGGCGTTGCTGGCGACAGATCCATGTTGCAGTGACAGTGCGGTTAACGGCACACTCGGCAAATGCTATATCAAACTTGGATTAGCTGGTTGCTTGAGGCATCTTCGAGGTGTGGAGAGTGGGTGGGTCATGGTCATGAGATTCGGAGGTGCTCCTCCGCTTGAGACTCATGACCAGATTTTGCAACCTGAAAGCTATGCAGAATTGGCAAAGATGAAGTGTGTTTGGCGTAAAAAGCAACTGAAATTGCATACCTTTAATCTCGGGGGCGCAATAGGCGCGTACTCTCTTGTAGTACAGTTGTTTCACTTCTTGTTCTTGGGGAGCTGAGAGCGGAAGCGGATTGCGAAGATTATATTGTCTGGATACACTCTCGGGCGCACCTGCTGGAGAAGTATCGGTCGATGTGGAAGATGTAGCCATTGGGGCTGTATGTCGATCTCAAAGATCGAAGTTGATCGGGTTGATTGTATGGGCTGGTCGATCGGAGAGTTTGCTTTGAGGGAAGGTAGTCCCAGTTGTTGAGGGACAAGAAGCCAATTCAGCTGCTCTAGAGCCCAGAAAAACAAACCGAGAGATGTAGAGATAGTTTCAAGAGGGGTTCACTGAATTGCTTTGCAGTGAAGATCGAGGCCAAGTGGGAGCATTGATTGCGAGTGAGCCGAGCTCGGGCGGAGAGAACGTTACTATTGGCAGAATCAGAAAAAAAAGTTCTCCGACTTTGCATCTCGACTTCGACTTGCACTCTTCTGCTAGAGACTTCTGTGTCTCTTCGTTCTTCGATTTCTTAATTTCTTCCACAATTTCTTGCGCTCCATTTGTTGTCTCGGGAATTAATCGACACCAAAATTCATCATGTCGTCCATGCGCAATGCCGTCCAACGGCGGAACCACAAAGAGCGTGGTCAGGTTCAGGGCCGCGAGAAATGGGGTCTCCTCGAGAAGCACAAGGCAAGTTCCTACAGAGGATCGCTTGGAATATTCACCAATCATCTGAGCTTTGTTTTTTGCTTGACCTCAAGACAACTGTTCTAACTTCAACAGGATTACTCGCTCCGTGCCAAAGATTACAATGCCAAGAAGGCTAAGCTGAAGCGCCTCGAAGAGAAGGCGCGGGATCGCAACCCCGATGAGTTCGCCTTCGGCATGATGGGAGACAAGAACCGGGTCCAGGGTCGGCACGGACGTGGCACAGGCACAGCACGAGACTCTGCCGCCGCGCGGGGATTGAGCCACGAGGCAATCAAGCTGCTCAAGACGCAAGACACGGGCTACCTTCGGACGGTTGGCGAGCGGGTACGCCGCGAGATTGAGCGCCTGGAACGCGAGGTGGAATTGCAAGTTGGCATGAACAAGGTCCTTGGCAAAAAGGATGGGGAAAAGGGCGAGGAGAGTGATGAGGATGACGGAATCGACGATGATTCCGATTTCGATTTCGGAGCCCCGGTGCAGCCGAAACCAACCAGAGTGGTGTTTGCCGATGACCGACAGGACCAATTAGCAATGAAGAAGCGGAGGATGCAAAAAGAAGAACCTGCTTTGGAATCAGAAGAAGAAGATCAGACGTCAAACAAGACCCGCAAGACACCCAAGCAGCTTCAGGCTGAGCGGCAGGCACTTGCAGATGCTCGGCGGGCTCGCAAGCTCCGGAAACGAACCATCGAGGCTCGCAACAACAAGCTGACTGCGTTGCGCAAGCAGCACGCCGAAATCCGGACTGCAGAGCAAGAGCTTGATTGGCAGCGGGCTAAGATGGGAAATTCCGTGGGAGGTACCAACAAGGATGGAATCAAGTGGAAGATCCGTGAGCGCAAGCGCTAATCGTTTTTGTTTCGATGGAGTTTATGAGTGATGACTCGCTATCATCTTTTTTGTATATATTGATACCAACCACTATAGAGGCAGTCCGGCGCATACAGTAGCATCCAAGGAACCCACTTCGATCCTGGCCATTGACTCCTGAGAAATCTCGGTAACATCAGGTCCTATGTGAAGCGATAGCTGGGACCTGCGACAAGGCATCGCTGCTTGTACTAGGAGATTTGACTACCATCCGAAGCACTGTTTCGTTGGTTGTTGAAATAATGTCAAAGCTAGCTTCTCTTCCTGTAGTGTACTATCACTCCAAAATTGAAATCAACTGCTCTATCTCTCGTCCATGCGTTGTCTTCCTTCCCGATCAATGCCCCAAGACGCGTTTCCTAAAATGCATCTCGAACTTTGCCACATGACATTGGAACAGTTTTCATCCCTTCAAGTTATCACGATATGTCCGCGGGTATACCAATCTACAAGCAGGGGACAGTAGCTCTACAAGTATTTCTATTCATCTACATTTGATGGCAACATAAATCCTACGAATCGCACTTATTTCAATCGGATTTCTATGCTGATCGATAGCACCCGGGTTCATTCTCGTCCCATCGGTGGTCCCAATGTGTTGGCTTCGTGGATGTGGACTCCACAACACAGCTCGGTATATACCCAAAATCCTGTTGATCTGTGCCGAGTGAACTTTTGGCGAGCCGAGGTCAAATAAATTGAGTGCATCGTCGGCCTAAATGTGGATCTAACCCCGAAAAGCCCCTCAATGCATTGAAACTGCAAACCAAAGGGATTTCATAATAGTCGGAAAGATAAAGGGTAGGAATGCTAGATCAAGCCCAAATATCCCCAACCTGCCACATGCGTAGGCGGGTTCGATTCCCTATTGAGGAAGACGAAGAGTAGTGGGGGTCATGTGATAGCCTACAAAATGACCTAGTTCAAACATTTGAGTCACGATTGCTTAATCTTTGTCTCTGAATAGCATCGAAAAGTGCGATATCAAGTATTCTGACACTGACGTCGTAAAGAGTGCAAAACGTTCACAGTAATCACACTATCGCTGATAGGACAATCTCTCTAATCAAGGCTTAATAATCAGTTGCCACCCCTCCAAGGGAAGGTTATATTCCCCATCTCGCTTCTCTTTCTGCTTCATATCTCAAAGAAAAACTGGTACAATGGCTCCCTCCTTTATAACCATCGACTCCAACGAGATGGACGTGGATTTTTCCACGCCCAAGCCAGTCCAGACCAAGCGCACCCTCCTCTTAGCGCCCCCCTCCATCGCCACTAACGAGGACAAACTCCGCGGTCTCTTCAACACCTTTGATCGCTCAACCACAGACCTACAAATGCTCGACCGCCTTTCCGCAGGCCTCGTCTCCCTCCCCGCAAATACCTACGACCTCGTCCTCATCCTCACCGATACAGATGGCTCACGGCGCTCCGAGGCGCTGAACCTCCTCACTCGAGATGTATACGCCACCCTAGTCCCCGCCATGAAAGCGGGCGCAAAGCTGCAAACCCAAGACTCAGCTCTCAATGCCTCGGACGCAATGGAAGCCGTTCTGGCGGGTCTCGTGCAGTCCGTTAACGGCTTCGAGAAACCAAACTTCGATCCCTCCGCCGCGGTTCCTTTAAAATTCGGCTTCAAGAAGAAGAATAAGCCCACCCCGCCAATTGCAGTCCCTGTTATTCCCAGTATTCCCACAGGGTTCGCGGTGCCGATGGGGATAGATTCTCCGACTGATTACGATCGCGACGATGATGACGAGCTCATAAATGAAGATACGCTCCTCTCCGAGGAGGATTTAACAAGACCCATAATGCCGCGTATGTCTCCCATCTCCTGTCAGTTCTTGCAGCTTGAAATTTTCTGCAAGATCTATGTCATCTAACACCATCTTTGCAGCCCCAGAGTGCCAACCCAAGACCGGCCGTCGGCGACGCGCTTGTAAAGATTGCACATGTGGTCTAGCCGACAAACTCGAAGCAGAGGATAAGGAGCGTCGCGCGAAAGCTGACAAAGAATTGAACGTCTTGAAGCTGGATACGGGCGACTTGACCGAGTTGGACTTCACCGTGGAGGGCAAGACTGGTTCTTGTGGAAGCTGTGCTCTGGGTGATGCCTTCCGCTGTGACGGGTGTCCTTACATGGGCCTTCCTGCCTTTAAGCCCGGCCAGGAGGTTCAAATTCTGAATGATATTGCGCAGCTTTAAAATCTAGTCTTTACTTTACGACTTACTTTCATTTCGATTTTTGATGACGGAAGTGGGGGTATTCGGTTGCATTGGGTTTTTTTTTGGGCATTTTCTTTTGGAGATTCGTTTAATGGGGTTACATACAAAATTATGCTAGGGGTGTTTGGCTTAAATTTGACTATATGATTTTCTTTCCTATCTGATCGTGACTTGGAAGGTTTCGACTGGATTTTCAAGTGGAGCCCAACGTCATCTCTTGGATCAGATGGTGGCATGATCGGTCTGGTATTTACATGCTGCTGGTCTGCCGGAGGTGATTGACTTCCGTTATTTGCTTCCAAAACATTCTATTGAGTGGCGGTATATGAACAAATTTAAGCCCAATGGCGAATTGCTTTTTTTAACTATGCATCTGTGTTCATGGCACATCCCATCATGATAAAACCCAAAACGATACTTGAAGAACAAAAGTGGTTTACTTGACTTATGACTGGTCCTTCTTCATGTGGGCAACACGGATGCTGATGGCACGCTTGTGCGCCTCCAGGCCCTCCACAGCGGCGAGGGTCTCAACCGTCTTGGCAAGACCGAGCAAGCCATCGGCGGTCAAGTTCGAGCTGGTGATGTGCTTCAGGAAGGAGCCGAGGTTGACACCCGAGTACTGCTTGGCGTAGCCGTAGGTAGCTAGAAAGGAGTTTGTTAGCACAAATCAAGCAGAGAGATAAGATGGAAAAGTCATTGCAGAGAGATACTTACGCAGCGAGTGGTTGACTCCGGCGGAGTAATCACCAACACTCTCGGGGGTCCAGGCGCCGATGAAGACACTGCCGGCATTCTGGACATCCTTAACCAGAGACTCGGCGTTCTCGACCTGCAGAATTAGGTGCTCGGGCGCGTAGTCGTTGCTGAGGGCCATGGCCTCGTTGATGTCGCGGACAACAAAGGTGACGGAGTGCGCGAGGGAGCCGCGGACGATATCCATGCGGGGTAAAGCCTTGGCCTGGGCATCGACCTCATCTTCGATGGCACGCAGCTCGGCCTCGTTCAGGTCGACAGCGATGAGGATAACCTGTGAGTCGACGCCGTGCTCGGCCTGGCTGAGAAGGTCGGATGCAACAAAGGCCGGGATGGCGGTCTTGTCGGCAATCACGAGGACTTCACTGGGACCGGCGGGCATGTCGATGCTGACGCCTGCGGAGGTATCGTTGGACACGAACATCTTTGCGGCCGTCACGAACTGGTTGCCCGGACCCAGGATCTTGTCGACCTTGGTGATGCTTTCTGTGCCGTAGGCCATGGCAGCCACGGCCTGGGCACCACCGGCCAAGACGATGCTCTCAGCGCCGACCTTGTGGGCCACGTAGACAATTTCGGGGGAGATGCTGCCGTCGGAGCGGGGAGGCGAGGCCAGGACAATCTTGTTGCAGCCTGCCACCATGGCGGGAACACCCAGCATCATGGCAGTGGAGGGCAGCACAGCGGTACCGCCGGGAATGTACAAACCGACACGCTCGATGGGACGCGAGAAGCGAGAGCAGACCACACCAGGCATAGTCTCCATCTGGAGGGTTTCGTTGCTTCCCATCTGTGCGGAGTGGAAGCGGTCGATGTTGCCAATGCTGATATCAATTGCCTCTTGGACATCGGGGGACAGCTTCATGAGTTCAGCGGGGAATGGTGCGTGAATAACAGGGGAGGTAAGTGATGTCGCATTCTCGAACTTGTGGGTGTATTTGAGTACAGCAGCGTCGCCGCCATCACGGACCTCCTGGATGATTGGCTTCACCAGGTTGACAATGGCTTCGTTAGATTTTTGGGAAGGACGCTTGAGGTAATCAGCGACCACCTGGGGGGGTGTAGAGGCAGTGATCACGCGCCTCATCTCAATTCGGGATGTGCGATCCTCAATCGGGGCGGGTACGGGAGCCGGGGTAGGGGCAGGCTTTGCCTCGGGCTTAGCCAGGCCAGCCTTTTCAGCCCAAGGTCCCTTAGCGTCGCCCTTTCTCCGCTTCACCTTCAAGCTCTTGAGGTCAAGGTTCCGCTCGATATCCTCCAGACTGACACCGGCAGCAGTGCACTTGGTCAGGGCAAAGTAAAGCAGGTCGGCGGCCTCGAAAGCAATCTCCTCCTTCGTGTTCGCACGACACAACTCATCAGCCTCCTCCATGATCTTAGCATCGATGAGCTTGGGCTCATTGAACAAACGCGCGGTGTATGATCCAGCCGGAGCATCCGCCTTACGGGCATCTAAGGTCTTTTGGAGACGAGACAGACCGGAAGATGCGCCGAAGCAGGTCTCCGTACCAAGGTGGCAGAATCCTAATGAGTCACCATGGTCAGCATAAAGACATCATCCACCAATGTCGAAAGCTGGTTCTTACCACGTCCAATCTGCTTAACAACAAAGACCAAACAGTCGGCATCACAATCGAAGCCAATGCGGATCAATTCCTGCACATCCCCGCTGGACTGGCCTTTGTACCACAGACCACGCTTGCGGCTCTGGTAAACACCGGTGCCAGTGCGCAAGGCCTCGACAATGCTCTCGTCACTGCTCCAAACAAAGCCTAGACAAGCTCCCCGCTCATCAGTGACAGAAGTGGCATACAAGCCATTGGCCTGGTCAGTGACGGCGGTCGATGCAATAAGCTTAGCGGCGGAGATCTGGCCAGCCACATCTCGCTCAACGGTCAGTGCCTGTGAGGGAACGACAGCAATAGCACCCTGCTTTGTGACTTGTGTAATGGCATCCTCCGACAACGCCTGAGTACCGAAGGTTGTGAAGAGACGTGGGGAGTCCGAGCTAATCTTCAATTTCTTGGCGGCGGCGGGGACGGTGGAAGGTGCGGTGCAGACGCTAGCTTCGCTGCGCTCGGCATTGACGGCAACCCATTGCTGGAGAAGATCCAACTGAGAATCTGACGGGGCGTGGACGAGCAGACGGGATGAGGGCACGGATTGTTCTTCGGAGAGGGTGGTCAATTGATCCAAGTTGATCAAGATCTTGGCGGCACCGGCGTTGAGAATATCGACAAGATCACCAGAAGAGGAGACCTCAGTTGCATCGATGAAGATGTCGAGGGCGCGGAAATTCTGGCGCAGGAATTGCTCTGCCTGGGTGAGACTCGAGACCTTGATCAGTACACGGCCGAAGTAGGCGATCTGCTTGAGCGAAAGTCCGGAGCCGGAGGTTGAGGAGGGGTCGTGAGAGATAAGGAAGGGGGTCGCCATAATGGGCAAATGTTGTCGAAGGTGATAGAAAGATTGAAAGGAGAATTAAATCCCCTAATAGGACCCTTTTGAATAATGGGGGAATTGTGGAGGAGAGCGATGACTCCTCGTGCAACCTTTTTTTTCCGGCCCCGCTGAATCATCGATTAGCCGCTCTATCGTCTGATGTATGTTGCAGTGGTTCGACCGTTGTGATTTACAAAATTCTGAGACATCCAATTTCTGCATTTTGTATACTCTAAAGTGATTGTTTCAGTGATGAGGAATGTATCGGAAATCTTGCTATCCTGGTACTCCTAGAATCCTTGAGCTACAGGATCTTAACGTCACAGAGTTACTTGATGGCCAATTTTGCCACGACCGTGATCCTTCAAGAAAGCAGTCCAAACGAGCACATTGATGACGTGCGTCTTGCCAGTGATCTGTTCTGTTTTTGTCTGGCCTGGGTGCACATTACACCAATAGCCGTCACGGTCGTCAACGGCCCGAGAAGCAAGAGCGGATGATGCTGTGTTTCCAAAAGTGTCAAACCCGTATTCGAGATCGTCGGCGGCCTCGTGATCCTCCTAGTCAACTTCGGATCGTATGAGTCAAAGAGATGTTTGGCGCTGCCGGAGTGGACAAGAGCTTCATTTTGCGGACGACAAGTCGTGATCACGTCGAGGCCGTAGATCATGGCGAGTTGAATGGCGTTTACGCCCACGCTTGCTGTTGATATTCATGACGCCAGAAGAATGCTCAATTCTCCAGCAGATATAGCACTCACAGCTGCCATCCACACTAAGACACTAGTGCCTTGGGCTTTTGAGCGATTAACGTTCAAGCAATCCCAAGAGAACACGGCAAGCCATGATGTGACCACAGCAGAAGGAACGGTGCTTGCCTCCTCCCGGGAGATGCTTGCAGGAATCTTGAGTGAAATGAGGTGGTCCGCGATTGGATATTAGCAACATCCGCTCAGCCCAGTTGCTTCTGACAGTCCTGTGTCAAAGGTTATGCATCTCCGAGGCTGACACGGCGACATTGCTTTTGGAGGTCACGACCTACACTAGATCAGTCCTTCCGCAGTGTCACCCTTGTCCAGTCGAGTGACCGTGTCTCCCAACTCGGTGACTTCTCCAACAAACTCATATCTCAGCATGACTCCATCCCCAAATGCATTTACATCCAAGTCCTGAACTGGAGATCATGAGGGACACATTTCGAAGGGGGGTGGAGTATCAGATTATACCATCTGGGGAGTCCTGTGCCACATGCGACACTCATCTCGACTTGCACTTGACCAGTGCCGGGTATACGGTAGGAGAAGTTCTTCTTTGACCAATTTTAACTGTCTTTCTAGAACCCGGACAATCGGTGAGACCTTGGATGATGCCATGGTGCAGAATGCGGAGACTCGAATATTCCTGTGCAGATTTCATCCAGCCCAATCGATATATCTTCAAAGTTGACAAAAGAAACCTTGGCAGTGGCCCCGTCCCGCCCTTGGGAATTCAGAAGTGGGATGTCTCCCCGTAGATCGCTACACAGTGCAGGTAACGATAAGCGCCGGGGCTTATTCCAGGTGTCTTGAAATCTGGAACTCCAAGGAGCAAAATGCAGATGCAGGATTGGTCGGACACCGTAATTAAGGAAGATCACCCAGTCAATAGTAGATGCACTAGTAGATGCAAGGTCCCGACGCGCCAGAGGATAACCGGCAAGACGCGTATGAATCACAGATGAATACGGAGTACTAACCGACGACAAATGGAACTTGTTTGGAATCCGCTACAACTTGTTTCATCAATTAATCAGGATGTATGGTGTGAATAGTCTTGAAGATAAGCATGCTTAGCGTAAGCGTGTCAATTTCAAAAGCCATTCAACCCCCCAGCAGGTGATGATACCTTGAGAAAAACCGCCGATCCCATTTCAATATTGTTATGCTATTCCCGCCCACCCCCACCGCTGGCAGCAGCTCCGACTCGGGCAATGTGCCATTGCGGTGCTGTGCGCTTCAAACTTATATCATCTCCGCCCCTGCACGAGTCCCACACCAACAACTGCAACTGCTCCATCTGCACACAGAATGGCTGCTTGTTAGTGTACCCGCTCAGCAAGGATTATGCTATCATGAAAGACGAGGCTGTACTGAAAGATAATCGCTTTGCCAAGCACACCGATTTAGTGGGGAGTGTGGAAGGTAGTTGTTTCAGTCGTCTTTCAGAAGAGGAATCCCCACCGGTCACTCCCATCAATGTTCGTCGAAGTGCCCTTGTTACAGTTGGCAGCTATTAAGTATGTCAGGTGCGACTACGATGGGGACATTAAGATTGAGAAACTGTTTTTTTTAAAAAAACAATTTGGAAAGTCCGCCGGGAAAGAGGATACAATCTAGATCAGTTCTTTGCCTGGTCAGATGATTCTATAATTTCGGTCAATTGATGACTCAAAAACGGTCCACTTAGGTCGTGTGGAAAGGATGGCAGGTGAAGTAGAGAGCATATCATGAATAAGGAATCCTAAGTAGAGTTTTACAACATGGATGCATGGATGCATGGATGCATGGATGCATGGATGGTGATGGAAAGGAAGTTTGGTAGGGCACAAGGGAACAGGAATATCTTAAGATGAACACATTGTATTCTCAACCGGTACTTCCGAAGAGTACTTGGAGTACTTGAGACATGTGGTTGGAGTTCAAATGCACAATAGGCCGGCACAGACTTATCCACGATCGACATGACTGTTCCTCGCGTGGGCATCAATTCCATCCGGATCTCAGAACCTGGAGACTGGAGAGAGTGACTGGGTGGGTTGACACAGTCAGACACTCTAGCCTGGTGACAAACCCCCCCCCCATCACATTGAGGGGTATGTTGCATGTCAAAGCACCCGCAAGTGGTGTTTTTTTTTTATTAGCCAAGACCATGCCAGTCAGGTACACCTCGGTCCCTGAAGATGGGGGGCATCCAAAGACCGGCATGTTTTCATGTCATCTCAAGGAGTCGTCTGGCTTGGTCACCCGTGTAATTAAGGGTTTCTGGGGGAATTCGAAAGGTGACGGAAGGTCCAGAACAGAGGGATCTAGAAATTGAAACCCTCTGTCTATCCCAAGATCTCAAATATGTTGTATCTGAAAACTGAGACCAAAAATACTTCGGCCACTTGCATTCTTCGGTGTGTACCAATAGTTGGTGCCCTTGTAAATCCCCAACGCCCCTGAATCCTGTCCGATTGGATCCTTTAACGTTTACAGGAATGACATCCTAGCCAAATGTATTTAAGGAGATCAGAATGCAAGTGATGTGGGAAATAGTAAACAAGTCCGGATCGCGTGTCGGCGTGCCCGCGTGCTGCCTTCCCTTTTCGCCCTCTGTCATGTCGACTGCAACCTCACTAGATCCTCATTTTGCAATCCCGGCATATTTAAGAATTGCATTGACCTGCTGCGTCGCAGTCCAGGTAGTCCCTCGTTTGCGATTGAAAATATTCCTAGTGGTGCCCCTTGCACCGATCCTGCCTAAATAAAACCCGCATCTCTATACCTAAATACATCCACTGCGTAGTCATGCGCATCTCTTCTCTATCATTTCCTTTGGTGCTGGGCCTTGTTGGGTCTTCTACCGCATATCCCTACCGGGAGCCAGAGGTGATCTTGCGTCGCAAGGCGGAGAATCAGGCCAAGGCCGATGCTGTCAAGGAAGCTTTCCAACATGCATGGAATGGATACGTCAAATATGCGTTCCCCCATGACGAGTTGCACCCCGTGAGCAATGGGTTTGGTGACTCCAGGTGAGCATTTCTGATTGTACAGTTCTTGCGGTGAACCGACTTGACATTTGAGGTAGAAATGGATGGGGAGCCTCTGCTGTCGATGCGCTGTCCACCGCCATTGTCATGGGTAACCAGGACGCGGTCCAAAAGATCCTGGACCACATTGAAACGATTGACTTCTCCAAGACCGAGGATGAGGTCAGCCTGTTCGAGACCACTATCCGATACCTTGCTGGCATGTTGTCCGGCTATGATTTGCTCAAGGATCCGGCAACAAAAAGCCTTGCCCCTAAATCAACCCAAGTCGACGCTCTACTTACCCAGTCCCGGAAACTTGGCGAGATCTTGAAGTTTGCGTTTGACACACCATCCGGTGTTCCTTACAACAACATTAACATTACTTCGAAGGGAAATGATGGCTCAAGAACCAATGGTCTTGCCGTAACTGGAACTCTGGTGCTGGAGTGGACCCGATTATCCGATTTGACCGGTGATAATGAGTATGCGGAGATCAGTCAGAAGGCCCAGTCGTACCTTTTGAACCCTCAACCATCCAGCGGAGAGCCGTTCCCCGGCCTGGTGGGAAGCAACATCAACATCTCCAACGGTCATTTCACTGACGGTGCTGTCTCTTGGAACGGCGGTGATGACTCGTTCTACGAGTACCTGATCAAGATGTACGTGTATGACCCGAAGCGATTCGAGTCGTACAAGGACCGCTGGGTTCTCGCAGCCGAGTCGACAATCAAAAACCTCCAGTCGCATCCCGCCCCTCGCCCAGAAGTGACCTGGCTGGCCTCATACAACAACGGCCAATTCGATCTCAACTCACAGCATCTGACCTGCTTCGATGGCGGCAGCTTTATCCTGGGTGGCACCGTGCTGGATCGGCGAGACTTGATCGATTTTGGCTTGAAGCTCGTGGATGGCTGCGAAGCTACTTACAACCAGACCCTGACCGGGATTGGACCAGACTCCTGGGGCTGGGATCCGAAGAAAGTTCCATCCGACCAACGGGATTTCTACGAAAAGGCCGGATTCTACATCAACAGCGGCTCCTATGATTTGCGCCCTGAAGTGATCGAGAGTTTCTACTACGCGCACCGCGTCACAGGGAAAGAAATTGTGCGTCAACTCTCTCTTCTCCTGATCTCTGATTCACACTGACCCAGAGACAGTACCGCGACTGGGTATGGAACAGTTTCAAGGCGATTAATGCTACCTGCCGCACTGACTCGGGCTTTACTGCTGTAAGCAACGTGAACACAGCTGGCGGCGGCTCGAAGTACGATAACGAGGAGAGCTTCCTCTTTGCTGAAGTCATGAAATATGCGTACCTTACACATGCAGAGGGTAGGTTGCTCGCCTGGCCGATCATCTGTCTCCTTTCTCAAATCTTTGCTAATGGGATTTGGTTTTATATAGATGCCCCATGGCAAGTTCAGAAGGGTCAAAAGAATGCGTATGTGTTCAACACTGAGGCCCATCCCATGCGCGTCTCGCATACCTAGGCTTTAGGATTTTCGAGCTGTCAGTGCAGTATATAGTGCAAGCAGCAAGCTATACTATTCTCCGTCACTCTATTGATTCTTGTAGTCATGTTGAGCATTGCCGCTTCGAGTTGCAATCCGCCCCTAGATCACGCCAGTCATTCAGCCGTCATCCCTCTTGTGGCCCTCAATCACAGGTCTGGTTCTGTCTTCGTGGGGAAAGTGGTCGTTGTAATTTTTTTGTAGTCTTATTTCATGTACCGGAATTGCGGCGGGCGATCTCAACTGAGATGTCCGAGGTCGTCCTCTCCCTACCGGATCGATTGCAGGAGATGGTTCATGGAATCGCCAGTAAAATGTCCAATACCATTGCCTCCATGGACTGGGATCTCAAATCCGGATGAGAGAATGACATTAATTTCATCTATGGGAGCTGAAGTCGGATGGGCCGGGTGCTTGGTGGTAGGGCACTAGGTAACCACATATGCAATTGATAAGCGATGCTTCGTTGACGTGACTTCATGACCGAACTTTCTGCTTTTTTCATTCTTAATTGGCCATTTTGCGCTCTTGAAAGGATAGCCTGTACAAATTATGAACTGAGCAGGAAGAAGTTTCGCGCACGCCAGGCTTTTCGACATGCAGAGAAAACCCGCCCTTCGTCACTGCTGATCGGTTTTGGAGCTGTTCAAGGCCTTTTTGCTCTTCTTCAAGTGGGAAACAAATTGACGGGGAAAGAACCAAGTCCAATGAGATTGGCTCGACTGGTGGAATTGCGCCATTTGTAGCGCTGGTGGCACAATTACTCGCTGAAATCAAATCAAACCCTGGATGCTTCGTATCCATGAAGGCGGAAGGCTGCCAATGCACGAAGTCCAGACAGAATGGTGTTATCCGCGAAGGGTATCACGAAAGCGCTAAGTTGCTAGATGCCCGCAAAGAGTAAGCTGCAGGATCGGCTTTGGAGATGGCTATGCAATTCTCTTGTAATACAGAGAGAGAGTGGGTGGTAATTTTGATTAAAATCCGACAACTGCCCGCCCAACACAGCCAGTAACCCAAAGATATGGCTTCCCTCAAACAAACAATCCTAGCAGCGCTAGTAACAACCTCCTCAATAAACACACACGGCCACTACCGTTCACGACCTGACCTCGCACCACCCCAACTAAATATCACCGTCCCCGCCGCACACTCCAATGGCTCTGAATACGTCTTTATCGCCCCATATTCTTTGGGTGGGACTCTCGAACGGCCCGGTCCGTATATCTACCGTAAAGACGGCGACTTGGTGTGGGCCGGTACAGGGTACTATGCCGGATTCGTGGCTAATTTTCATCCGACCACATACCAGGGGAAGCCCGTTCTCCAGGCCTTCCAGGGTAGTATAGACGGTGCCCATGGTGAAGGGTTTGGTCAGCATCTCTTGCTGGATCAGAGTTACCAGCACGTTGTTACCTCGACTGCCGGGAATCATCGTGTTTCGTCGATTCACGAGTTCAATGTCATCCAGGAAGAGACGGCTTTGATTGAGGTCTTTTATACGACCCCGGCAAATTTATCGGCATATGGTGGGAATTCCTCACAGCTATGGTTGGGGAATGGGATGTTCCAAGGTTTGTTGGTCGTGAAGTCGGGATGATGACTGGGCTGATTCTGGGTCATTTGCTAGAACTTGAGATTGCCACGGGAGAGTTGATTTTCGAATGGAATGCTTTGGAGCACGTTGACCCGTCTGGTAAGATCATTTTACCATATAACTCGACAAGCAAATCTAACCCCGCAACTAGAAAGCCTAGTGACATTAGGTTCCACAAATGCCAATAGCGGATTGTCTTCCGCCCAAGCATGGGATTACTTCCACATCAATAGCCTCGACAAGAATGAGGAAGGAGACTACCTTCTCTCGTCCCGTCACACGAGCACGATCTTCAAGATCAACGGCACAGACGGCTCAATCATCTGGCGACTCGGCGGCAGGTACCCCAGCTTTGCACAAATTGGAAATTGGACCTTCGGATTCCAACACCATGCCCGCTGGCACCCACAGCTCAGCCAGCCTGAAACGGAGGTAATCTCCTTCTTTGACAACTCTGGCGATGGCACTATCACCTTCAACAATGTGTCCCGGGCATTGGTTGTCCAGATCAACCAGACAGATCGCACGGCGACAGTCCTCCGCAAGGCAACAGCACCGTATGCTCTCCAGGCTCAATCCCAGGGAAATACACAACTACTTTCTGACGACCGCATCTTTGTAAACTGGGGATCGGAGGGTGCTTTCACGGAGTTCGGTGCGGACAATGAGATTCTGTACCATGCTTTTCTCCCGACGGGATCGGTCAGCTACCGTGGTTACTTATCGAACTGGACTGGTACACCGAAGGAGACTCCGGCACTGGTGGCGCTGAAAACAGCTTCGAACACTGTTGAGCTTTATGTATCTTGGAATGGAGATACCGAGACTTCGGCTTGGAGATTCTTTTGTGTCAACGGGAAGACGAAAACGCGGGTCGGTCAAGTGAGTAGAGACTCTTTTGAGACGGCTGTTACTTGGAAGTCAACTTTTGCACTGTCTTCTTCTGCTAGATTCATTGCTGAGGCGGTTGGTCCGAATGGAGAGTCGCTTGCACAGACAAGGTTGACTGCTGTTACTGACTCCATTTAATTTGCTGGCGTGAGAGCTAACGTTGGGTGACTCGAGATAAAAGACCGGCCTGAGACTATGCTATTCGATTGCGGTTACTGAGATTGCGCGGTTGTGGAAAGTTATCTTAATGGCAAGGCTTTCACACGTCAGATGAAAATTACCTCAAGGGACATTATAAAATGAACAGATTAGACTTGAAACGTTGGAAATTTCCCCGTAGCAAACCCTCGAATATGCCATACAGCTTCTTGAGAACATAACACGTATAAGGACAACTCCCAGTGGCCATCATGCATCGAATGCCTGTTTGGCATGTAACTGCTTTCCAGCCTTCCGAAGCCTATGACAGGCGGTGCAAACACGCACGCAAAGGATGAGGTCGAAGAGGCTGAATTGTAATCTCCTGTCAGATATAAACCGACGAAAACTCATATTCCAAGAAGTATCATAGAACACCCCAACTGGCTCGGGCTGTTCTCTTGCATCTTTTACCAAGGTATTGGTCAGAAGTAGGTGATCAGCCCACAAGATCATGGTAGTTTGACTTGAGGATATCAAACCAGAAAAGGGAAAACACCCGACGAGTAGTCTTTTCCATTCTGGTGATTGGTTGCCCTTGTTCAAGCGCTTGATTTCAATGGTATTAGGGCTTTAGGGCTTAGGGTTTTTAAATTGCGTGTCTGGTGGTCGAGCATTCATTGCAACTTTTACCAATCGAGTTCTTTTTTTTTAAAAAAATGAGTCCAACGTCAAATTAAAATACGATCTAGAGATGTATTTCCCATTTGAGTATCAAAGCTGTGAAATATGCAAAATCTATCCAGGCAAACTGTATTTCAAGATTAGGATCATGATTCCAGCCCGGCAGATCAGCGAGATCTTTCGCCGGGGCACCACGTGTAGAGTTGAGAGCATCACCCCCAGGTCTCCACATCCACGAATTAGCTAGGTCTCGCGGAAGAGACCCTTCTATCAGCTCAACGACATGTCTTCCGATGTTGGGCAGAAGCTTGAAGCCATGACTGTAGCATATACTGTTAGCAAGCCGCTTATTATACAGAGATCCGCATTTTAATAGTCAACGCACCCGCTGTCTCCCGTGGCCAGAATGAAGTTTTTCCACTTGGGATGTTGGATGATTGCGCCGCCCTAAAATGCGCGTGCTTTTGCATAGACCTCCAAGACCCCAACGGCACTTAAGTGAACCCCAAGCCAGAGCGCAAGAAACATACCCCCTGCTCGGATGAAAAAGATAAGCTCAAAGCATATCTAGAAGCGAGGTCCTACAACTGATTTATAGATGTAAATCCAAAACAACTGAAAACACTGTCATAGCACAAGCTAATGATAATGACTGACACAGAGCCTCCGATCTCAGAGTTACACCATGATACTTCTTCATTCTCGGATGATGCAATCAGTCATACTCAAGGGATTGACATGGAGCATTATAAGGCCACTATTCCGCTATGGAAGCGAGTGTGGCAGCATATTTTGACACAGATGATACTTTTGAGCATTCGGGCATTCTGTGGACCAGCAATGGCTGATGCAATTACCGGTGAGAGGGATTTATCCTTCTCCACTACCGAGGCTACAAAGTGATCTGGACCTTTCGCTGATATTTGGCAGGCCTTGGTGGTGGTATGAAAAAGGCGACAGTGGCGGAGTGACTTCTGATACCTATGTTGCCTTTATGATCATCGAGTGTGTTGCGTGGGTGCTTCAAAAAACGAAACCCTGGACACAGGGGATGGTCTTATACTGACGGTATTCCAATAGCTTACCATTCGCACTGGTGATCACTCCCTTCAAACGCGTTGTCCGGTCTGACGGTACCAAGATTGTCACTTCAGAAACGCTTTCCACCAAGATGGAAATCAAGCGTATTGGAAAAATCATAACCTCAAAACTAATAGTGCCATCTGCGCTTTGGGCACTTTGGTCATTCTTTTATTCGCAAGCCTGACAGTCAACACCGGGCTCAACATTCAAAAGCGACAAAGCTGATATATTTGAAAGCGGTACTTGGAACGCACATCTCGAAACCTATTTCACCGTTCGTGCTCGCGCTCTCTCATCGCTCATCTCGAAACCTATTTCACCGTTCGTGCTCGCGCTCTCTCATCGCTCATCTCGCCTTTCTTTTGCATGTAAGTTGAATCCCGCGAAATTATTCCATCAACCCCAACTAGTAATGATGCTGATCAGCATTGGCTGTTTCGGCCTCGGATTCATTCTCGACAGGAAAAGTCTCAGCCAGCGCCGTCGTGCTCAGGCCGGTCTCTACACAGTCGTAATCCTGAATGTCGGCGTCTACGTCTGGTCCATTATTATGCAGAGCAAGTTCAAGCACCATGATCCTGGCGCCATCGACTGGGACAGTGGACGGTACGCTTCGTCATTCCTACTATAGTTCTTTGTGCAGACTACCGGTCCGCTATCCCAGTCGTTAATGTATTGGCTGTTGTCGTCTTTTACTACGGACGCACAGGGTAAACAACTCTTCTTAGACTCTGACCCAGATGTTGGACGTTAATGGAAATGTTAGAAAACGTTCGCAATGGCGCTACATTTAGATGCATCGAAGCTATTGGTCAGGCTATTGCCTACGGTATGAATACCCAGATAACAAATGATCCTTTGGTTGGAGTAAGTTCAATACCCTATTCATCTCCATTTACCGATAGTTAGCAGAGCATTTTCAAGCTGCGTGACATTCGCCCTACTAGGAGCCGCTTTAATCCCCATGATTATGCTTGTAAACACAACACCGGACCATATCCCTGCAGATTTGGTTACTGAAGAACGGAATACTGCTTGTGAGAAGATTCGAGATGTCTGAGATTGTTCTCAACATGGGGTTGAGCTTGACTGTCCATTTCGTGTCCTCAACTCGTTGGTTTCTTTCACAGTAGCGTCTTAACTATCTTGCTCGGTATAACAACAAACAAGATCCCATGGCTTCCTGGATTTTGGAATGGAAGCCTATCAACTTCTCATAGCACAGTATGATAATTGCTACGCCCTGGCTTCGGCTTAATTTTGACCTGGTTGATGCCCCAAACACGAGCCTTTGCATCCAGTGATTTTTATTGCTACTACCTCTCCCTTTTTGTACCATTTTTTAAACTTGGCTTTTCTTGTTAGCTTAAGTGAATCTTGGCATGTGTATTTCATTGTGGTCGGCTTCATTTCACAATGACCATTGACCGTAAAGTAATCGCTCAGAGCAAATTGAACAACACGGGTTTTGTCACTTCCTTCTCGAGGGCTGACTTTAACTTACACCCTCCCACCAACCAAACAACAGGCATAACTCAAGTGATAAGACTTTTTCTCCGTGCCAAAGATCATACGGCAATAACTTTCGTCATGCCTATAGGTCCATGTCATTCTTACTGTGACAGTGGGTGTCCTCGTCAAAACGAGGCTGGCCAAGATGGGACCAGACAAGGTGAGAGAAATCAGACAGCGAGAATGTCGACAAGACAGCTAACTAGCCAGCTCTAGCACAATTTCTGACTTTAAAGCCCAGTCTTGAAATAACGGCTACCAAGAACAGCACCCAGAGCCTTGACCTGCGCCATCAATCTCTCGACGGACCCGGCGAAACCCCAGGAGCTCACCTATCACCCTTCACACCTCGTGGTAGGAGATCAAACCGCACCAGAGATGATGCGCATTCTCAACAGTCCACTCGACAGCGCAATTCCGACAATGAATCATCCCAATTTGCGTCACCTCCATCTCAGGCACCTCGAACTCCAGCAATAAGGTCACTTCGACAAACAACCCCAAGCTGGCAGCTCTCAAATCCCATTTCAATACCACAACCACGCCCGACTGACGGAATTTGTTCCTCTCAACCTCCAGCGTTCCCCTCCTTCTCCGGAAGCTCTTGGGAAGATTTTGTCTCAGATGAGACAGTCGCCAATTACCGAGCCATCGGAGCTCAATATCAAGCATGGATAGCAGGACCAACTACAACACCATGTCCAATCCGACAATCAAAAGTCACCTGGACAGACCTGGTCCACCACCCGCTCGAAGAATTTAGCTTTGAGGTGCATCTCGACGACTTCAGATCAACACCCGAGGAGGTGGGCAACATCGCATCAACCGGGCTCTCGACAGAAAATACTTGGCGTTATATTTTTCTGAGACAATACGGATACTGGGATGGTGGTCGCCAAGAGGGCTACACGGTGTACCAGCACCGTACCGGTCTCGGCGCGATCTTTGTTGAGAACATTACCAGACGATTCGGGCCTTACTGGGCTCAAGTAGCGCAAGCGCAGTACCAACTCGACAACCACATCGATACTCTCCGTTATGTTTACTTCACCAACGTTCAGAACCTGCACACCTGGCCCTACGTGGAATGTCATCTATACCCCCGTCATGACTTGCACTGGTTTGATGACCACGAGCCCCAGTGCTGGGCGTATGGTACTAGGGAGTATCAGGAGCTCCTGGGCACGAAGCTGGGACGGGGGGTGGCTCGTCTGGTTCTGGGGGCTTGGCCGCGAGGTACGCATCGTATCGACACCATTTCTACGTGGACCTTTGTCGGAAACTTACAGATGAGGTTTGACATAAAGCAAATTTGATTCACTTGTTCAGACTCTGTGGAGCAAAAAGCGCATATTGATCCAGTGTAGAGCCAGTTATAGAAGAGCGAGAAGCTCTAGGCCCTACTCGCTTTTTCTTTTTTGACAGAACCTGGGCCTCTTTTGGCCATGAGGATAGTGCTATCATGACCAAGGAGCATCTAGGTGTTTTGTAATTATTTTGAGCCCCTATTTAGTGCTTACTATCGTCAGTCGTGCGAAAAATCAGCTGAAACCGGAGCCTAAATGCGGCAGACAAGAGAAAACTTGTGAAATTCAACCAAATGCCACCTCTTTAGCACCGCCGAATAGGTACTGAGTCGGCATCTTATCCTAGCCCCTTAACATTGTTATCCAGTCTCACATTCGCATCCAACACGGGAGCAATAGGACATGATCAAAAGCTTACATGGTAGCTAGCAGTTTGTAGTGCGCGGCGACTTGTCTATCTCACCCTATATCATTGAATCAAACAACTTGGGTGTTTATTAAAAATGAATCGGTAATACAGGACATCTCAATCTCACAAATGGCATGATGGATTTCGCTACATCAAAAACATATGCACTTGAATCAGTCTTTGGACCCTAAAAGACAGAAAGATGTATATATGCATCACGCAGTGCTCTGCCGACAGAAACATGACGATTTGATAGGCACATCCGTCCAAGTCAGAGAATGCTTTAGTTGCTGTAACCTGGCACGCGCGTCACGTTTCCGACCCAACCTGACCAAACACTCATAATATCCATGCGAAGCCCAAACATTACCCGGATGCCGCAAAGAACGAGGCAGATCATCCTCGACCCCAAGGTCTGCAGCATACACAGCTGCAGCCTCCTCAACGCGATCCTGTTCCAGCAACAACGCCCCCAGCGCGTGTCTAGCTGGCTGCATCCAGCCCCACGGTTCATCATACGGCAACTCATCATCTCTCTTAACAGCGTCCCGCAGATACGAAAACGCAACATTGTATTCGCCACGGCGATACGCAATCTCGCCATCCAACATCGACTCACCAACACGTAGTATGTCGACGCAGCGGTTATTGAAGATCGTCCGTGAAGCCGGGACACGCTTCATTGCCCGTAGGAACCGTTCTTGCTCTGCCTCTGCTTCCAAAACACGGCTGGTAGCAGCGAAAGCGACGCCCTTGGCATAGTGAATCATCGCAGTGGTGACACAGTACAGCCCAGCATCTTCCGGCAACTCCACAGCAAAGATATCCTCCCAGCGGCCGAAACGCACAAATCCATGCATTCGCATCGCGACAAATCCTTCCAACCAGTCTGCCATGGGCGGAGACGTGATGCGCAGAAGAGGTTCAGTAATTATTCGCGCAAGTTCAGCCCCTGACTCAAGTGCGAGCTGCGACCGGCCGCCCATCATCGCAGCGTACATTCTGAAATGATGATCATGGGCAAGGTACAGAATATAGAAATGGCCGAGGGGCTGGTTGGCGAGGAACTTCTCGTCCGCGCGGATTGCATCGGTATTGGTCATGGCAGCCCTTTGGTAATCGCCACACAAGATATCAATATGGGAGGACATATGCTCCAGATGGCCAGCATCAGGCACAAGGCCGCACAGGTTGCCTGCTATCGGCAGGGCGATTTCAGGCGTGCGGGACATTTCAATCAGATGGATGTAGAGATGCAAGATACCGGGATGATTGCGGGCCTCGTCTCGTTTTAAAGCCCTATCTAGCGCGTTTTTCGCCTCGAGTGTTTTTGCGCCTGGTGCAACTTTGCCAGTCTTCACGTCCCATAGACCCCACGGAGTGAGGTTCATCAGCGCGTCGCAGTACAACGCGGTCACATCGAGGTCATCCGGGTAGTCTTGGTAGACTGATGTCATTGCCTCGGCGTAGCTTTTGTCCCATTCTGTGCAGTCCGGTACGGGCTGTTCTTGCGGGTATCGGTACTGCAGTGCATCGATAAGAGCACTCTCCAAAGGTGTCGCGGCGTGAGCGTATTTTTTTGCCTCCAGAATCGCGCGATGCGCGCGAGTTGTCGTAGCAGAGAGATCTTCTCCGTCAAAGAGCTGCCATGGCTTGTTATAGTTAGGGCCCAGGGCGAGGGCAAAGCCCCAGTATCCCATGGCGCATGTCGGGTCGAATTCGACGGCCTTTTGAAAACATCGGGCAGATTCTGTGTGATTGAAGGCGTACGCCCAGATCAAGCCTCGACTAAACCAGAGCTGGGCATCTTCGTTTGTTGTGCTCACATTGCGACGGTAGCCACCTAGGTTATAGTAGTCCTCGGCAAGTGGCTGGTCCATTTTGTTGATGGTGGGTTGTGTGTGTTGTGGCGGAGGAGAAGGAGGAGGAGGAGGAGGAGGGGTATGGTTGCCCAACACGGCCCTACTCCTGAGTCACGAACCATTTTGATCACATCCGACACTGGTATATGTGCCTATGGAGAAACGGAGTATACGGAGTATATACGGGGTTATGTAGTGACATATCAAACAGGTGCCTAAGGCAGTGTGTCTTTTATGAGGCATCAAGGCAGCAACTAGCCCCACATGAGCAGATTTGAGGAAATCCGCTTTTAATGTGCTCACTCATGCTCGATCGCCCTCATGAGCACCTTGGGGGCCTTTTGAGATTCCTATTTAGGTGCTCTGCCTGGTCACTTTGTCCTTTTCTTTGCGTTTTGTTATTTACAGTCAACATAATCACTTGCGTGTATATCAACCCACTTACATAAATATCAACCCTTTTCCCTCTCCGCTCAAATCAACATCTCCACTCTCATAGATCAGCCAGCATGTGCGGAGAAACCAACCGCCCAACGTTCGGAGGCACCATTGCCGTCCTTTTTCCTAGAGGAACTCATCAGAGCTCAAACATTCCAGATACGTCATTATCCTCGTCGCCAGCATCAGTATCATCCTTTGCATCATCATCGTCGATTGCCTCAATGTCATCATACTCTCTCTTCTTCCGTGACTCGGATGCAACCACCCATAAAACGAGAGCAATCTTCCGAACGGATGATATCGAGACATACCACGCACTCAGAGCGTGTCGAAATGTCGAAATGCGCATTGAGTGAGTAAAGCATGTCCTACACAGTACGGACATTATGCTCACAGTTCATGTCAGAAAATACGGCGATCTTTCCACTACATCACAATTTACATCACCACTCTATCAGTTCCGACTGAACATGGAAAATGACAAGAACCCCACGTCCGCAAATCCGATGGAGATCGAGCTCGAGTTGCCCGAAAGGCTGGACCTGGGCGTCTCGGAGAAGGGTGTCATTGGCCGACAAGTGACGGTCAGAGAGCAAGGTGGTTCGATTCTTGGGATTGGAGTGGTGGGATATAACTAAATTGACGAGCCCCTTCTATTTACGAACGTGCCTCCTACAAGATTGGAATTACAAATCATCTTGCATGAGTTGGACATAGGTCTGATCAGTCAACCTGAACGAAATCGAAAACGTTGGTTTTTAAAAAAATCCTCACAGCTTCAGCGGGTTCTCCACGCCAGCAGTGTAACGCTTCTCCGCTTCCGCCCAGTTAATGATCTTCCAGATTCCCTCGACGTAGCCAGCCTTGTTGTTCAAGTACTGTGGCCAACACAGATTAGCAAACAAACACACAAGTAACAAAGGCAGGAGACTCGACTTACCTGGAGGTAGTAGGCATGTTCCCACATATCTACACCAAAGACAGGAACATCAGGCGCATTGACAGGGTCCTGATCCTTAGTCGTAACAATCTCAAGCCGTCCCTTAGGACCACCTTTGCTGACTAACCATCCCCAGCCACTACCCTGAAGACCGAGCAGCTCAGCGCCAAAGGCCTTGACAAACGCTTCCTGCGAGCCCCAACGGGAGATGATGGCTTCACGCAGAGCGGGGGCCCCGCCGAGATCATTCCCAGGCGTGCCGGGGGGAGTCAGGTTCTTCCAGAACAGGGAGTGGTTGATGTGACCGCCGCCGTGGAAGCGAATCTTTTGCTGCAATGAGATCAATGTGGGGACATCATTCGATGCAGTTGCGGTGGTTTGAGCAGCAAGAGCTGCGTTTAGGTTGGTGATGTATGTCTGGTGGTGCTTCTGATGGTGCAGCTCCATAATCTGCTTGGAGATGATGGGCTCCAATGCCTTTTGATTGTTAGCTTCCTGGCAAGAGATCCTCGGAATTCTTAATTAGACGAGGCTTACATCGTAAGCGTAGGGAAGAGGAGGAAGAGTGTGAGTTTGGGAAGCCATGGTGGAATTGTGAATGTAAGTGCGTGTCAAGCGTAGAGAAGAGTAAAATGAAAGAATAAGAAGTGTAGACAAGAGATAAACCACCAAGGTCCCTCTAAATACCCCTCGTAGTACCCCCTCTAGAAGTGACGTGATAGCATGGATCTTGGGGCCACCAAGGTAGGCATCCACAGGTGGGGGTCGGCATTTGGACTGAGTTGGATTGAGCACTTTTTTGTCCAAGTTGCTTTACTCGGCTCCCAGTGTGATTTGGGGTTGAAATCACTGGCCATAACCCCCTTCACTTGTCTGTAATAATATTTCATGATGTAATATGTTCGTTGTCCCTTGAGAGTGTTCTCGAAATTATTCAAAGCTGTGCAATCCTTCAAAATGATCGTCATCTCCCACAATGATCTCCTTCATCTGCGGAGAGACAAAGACGGGACATCAACCCGAAGAAACCGAAGGGAAAGAAAAACCAACGGGAACCACCATGTGGACTGGGAGTGGTATGGAGAGAAGTGGAGGAAAATGGAGATGGATTTGCCCTCCGTAGTCAAGGTTCTGTGTGGATCCTGTAGATCTGATTAAGTTGGCAATTTGGATCTTCATTTCCTTTGCATACTTTCTTTTTTCTGCTCATCAACCTGTAAATACCTCCAGACTTCCGGCAAGGGAGGGTATACCTTCCCTATGGCTAACGTAGGTTCTAAATTTGACAAGCTTGGCCATGTCGATCACGATGCTACACTCGGTGGATCTACCTTGTGTATCTCTCAACATCCAGAACCCACTACATCGGGGAGACTTTTTCTTTCCGTCAAAATCTCATTAGTTGCATTGACTGCTGCGTGTTCCGAACATCTTCAATATCTAAATTCCTACCAGTACCTAGCACATTCGAACATCATGGGTGACTTTGTTCTGTCGCAGAAAAAGCGCTATGCGCTGATAGGTACTGATGGAAGATCGACATTGTTCTACACGAGCATCGCAAACGATTTTCACAAGACCAGTACTCTCGTTGCAATCTGCGATACGAACCAGACTCGACTGAACTATGCAAGAACTAAAATCGAGGCCTGGGGTCATAAACGGGTTTCAACTTATATCGCTCCCGATTTCGATCTCATGATTACGGAGACCAAGCCGGATGAGGTGATCGTTACCACCATCAACCGTACCCACCACACCTATATTATCCGTGCTTTGGAGCTTGGCTGCAAGGTCATTACCGAAAAGCTAACGACCATCGATGGACCGCAATGCAGCGAGATCCTTTCGGCTGTCGATCGCACCAACCAGAGGGTCAGGGTCACCTTCAACTACCGTTGGGCGCCACGTAACACGAAAATTTTTGAAGTCGTTCGATCCGGGGCGATCGGTACCGTTACAAGCATGCACTTCGAGTGGATGCTCAACACATCCCACGGTGCAGACTAATTCCGCCGTTGGTACCATGATGCTCGGAACAGCGGCAGCCTTCTGGTTCAGAAATCCACCCACCATTTCGATCTAATCAACTTTTGGCTGCAATCCCGACCAAGGACAGTCTATGCATAGGGAGATCTCAAATTCTACGCGAAGAAGAATGCCGAGGAGCGGGGTGTGACCCAGTTCTACTCCAGGACTCACAGCAGCGAGGCGGCTAAGAAAGATCCATTTGCACTGCACCGGGATGAAAATCCTCAGTTGAAGTCTCTCTACCTGGACGCCGAGCATGAAGATGGCTACTTTCGTGACCAAAGTGTCTTTGGCGATGGAATCAGCATTGAAGACACGATGAACGTGCTTGTTAGATACGAGAACAGGCCAGTCTTGACCTATTCTCTCACTGCGTATGCCCCCTGGGAGGGCTTCCGTGTCAGCTTCAACGGAAGAGGCGGTAGACTGGAGGCAGGAATTGCCGAGAGTAGCTATGTCAACTCTGGTGGAGAACAATCATTGGAAGGTGCCGCTGAAAGTATCTCTCTCCTGTTGCGACCTTTATTCCAAGAGCCGCGCAAGATTGAGATTGTGCAAGGCGCGGGTGGACACGGAAGATGGGAAAATGTGCTGCTTCGTGATCTTTTCGGAGAAGCTGAGCTCAACGAGTACATGAGAGCTGCTAGTCACATTGATGGTGCGGCTTCTATTCTGACCGGTGTCGCTGCCAATCGCTAGATCTGTACTGGGTAGGCGATACCCGTCAAAGACATCCTCGACCTCCCTTGAATAATGTCGGCTTGTCGGATTGAATGGTAGGCCTCGTTTACATCGGCTTCAAAGAATCATCTTCTGAGGAATAAGCAGATCAATCTTGTGAGGAACTCGTAATTGGCAAGCGAACCAACCTTGTAGATGTTTAACACTCTCACAGGGACACGTTGGCTCTGTTTTTCTTCGCTTGAACAAAAATGATACCCTTCCAACACAGAAACCTCAAGTGTCAACCTCGTGCTACTCAAATGTTACACGCGAAACACTATCCGGACCCAGCATCCTTGACAGTTCGTGTATGGTCAGTGGGAAGAATCGGTAGTCTACATGGGACGAGCAAACTATAAACGAGGGAAATGGTTGGTAATTGGGAGGCTTTGCCCCAAGGATTGAACCTGCCAAAAACTACCAATCTACCGATTCATTGTCCTCAATATATAGCCCCGGATGGGAACCTTGGAATGCGGAGAGGTGATAAGAATGTTTCTGTTCCCTGGATTTCGGGCAATTAACTAGCGATGAAGGCATTGTCTGTGCAATGCTTCCCCGCAATATCAGCCACCAAAGAACCTCCAATGGTTCTTTCATCCCTTTAACCCTAGCGTTAATAGCATTGAATCACAAGGTCGGTATGTGTTCCGTCGCACGGTCGGACAGAGTGGTGGTATCCGCATCTATCGCGAGGGTTGCACCTATCAAGGGCAGCTAAAGTATGAACTAGAACAAACATGAAAAATCACCATAGGCAAGCACCGCTTGGAGTGGTTAAAAGAGAGATATGAGGCTTTGCATCCCTCCGAGAATCGAACACAAGCAACCCCTTGTTACTCTCCCTGCCATGGCTGCCCAAGCGAACGATGAAAATCTCAACAGTTCACCTGGAGCCGGAAGAGCGTCATGAACGGGCTACACGTTCAAAGGCGGTTTGGTTTTTGACTAGCCATGCGACTGAGACTGCATTCATCTACAAAGAGGAGAAAGCCGTTCTCCGTCGAATCAACAAGCGAATCTTCGTTCTTCTTCTGTGGGCGTGTTTCTTCCAATAGCTTGACAAAAGTTCCATGAGGTGATGATGATGATTATTTGTTCTAACCACATCAGCTTTTCCCTAGCTCTCATCACACTAATACATTGTTGGGTAATTATGTCTCCATTTTCGGCCTGTAAGAAGATGCCCATCTAGTCGGGCTACAATATTCCTGGCTCGGGTCCATTCTTTGTCTTGCACAATTTGTAATGCAACCTCTAGTGGCTCTCATTTTGGTGAAACTCTTTACCGGAAAAGTCCTCGCAAGTGCTATCTTCCTCTGGGGATCAGCACTTACCATTATGGCCTCTTGCACCGATTTCCCCTCGCTTCTCGGTGTGTGTCAGCTGCTGGAATGCCATGAATGGCCTGACCTCCATTATTGGTAGTCTTCTCACCCACGGCCTTGGACACATCCACAGCAATACTGGACATCGGTACCAGACGACTTTGATGTTTTGTGGCCTTTTGGTAGTGGGTGATTCTCTTCTTCTAATCTGGATAATGCCTGACTTCCCGATGGACGCATTGTACTTGAGCGAGCGAGAGAGACTCATTCCCACAGAGAGACTGCGTGCCGACCAGATGGGTATCTCCAACCAAGAATGGCGATGGGATCATGCTCGGGAGGTTCCATTCGATCTCATGACTTGCTGCTGGTTCTTCTCAATCATGACTATCTCGTAAGTATTCGTCGCTTGTCAAATTCATAGGTGAAGAAAACACAGATGTTTGAACTGACTTCTGTAATAATATTGCAAGCGGAGGCATATCGAGCTTTGGTTCCATGATTGTCAAACCATTCAGGATTTGATAGCTTCCAAGCGATCTTGTTAAATATTCCATTTGGAATCATTCAGATTGTGTTTATCTTACCCACAGGATGGCTAGCCACGTCGACCCAACGAATGGGTCTCGTGATAGCCGGAGCGAGCGTCTGTTTGTAATTGCAGCGGCATACACATCAGGTCCTAATATCCATTAGGGACCCACACGTCCTGCCGAGCGCCGGGGCTATCATGATGCTGAGCGTCCCGCGACATAAGAAGGAAGTCCTCCTCTTCGGCTACTACTTGGTTTGCCCCCAATGGTTAAATATGGTCATTAAAAAGATCTCAAACTAACGGTTGAAGGTCTTCACCATCACTCCACTGATTTATGCCTACCAAGCGCAGAATACCGCGGGTGGAACTAAAAAGAAGTGTACCCCTGGTATTGTTTTCATCGGCATGTGCGCTGGCAATGCTATTGGTCCGCTTCTTTACTCTACCAAGGATGCACCGTTATATCGAACGGGTCTAATAGTCAGTCTTGTCATGTTTGTCACTGTCGGGATCATCGCTGGGTATGCTCTAACTTGGTCTCTGTGGGAATATTTTTGCTAACACTATTTGGTAGCCTAACTCCTTTCTATCTCCTGTACCTGAATATGATACACGAGAAGCGACGCGTGGAACTCGGCAAAGTGGGCCCCGTGGCTGACATGTCTATGCTGGACAAGGATCAGCGGAAAGAAACCAAGGTACTGGAGCTGGAAGATATTCAAAAGGTCTCGGTGGGACAAGAAAACGGTTTACAGGACATGACCGACCTGAAGAACGAGGACATCTTCTACGTTTATTAGCCCACTAACGATGTGCAGAGCACGCTGAATTTACTGGATGAAATCATGCTTCATAATCAAGACAACTGCATTCAGACGAATTGAGGATCAGGGCTCCCTATAAAGAACATGTGTGAGGTTTTCCACTGGCTAAGAAAAATCGTAACCGTGTGCTCAAGTGCGTTATCCCAGCCCGCTTCCCCAATAGCTCGCTCTCCATTGAATCAGGTCGGTGCCTCCTTCACTCCTGATGATTGAAGAACCTACGTGAAATGGAAACCCATTTAATCCTCAGCTAACCAACCCGAATCCGTACCTTGTTGGGGATTTCCAGCTTTACCGTGGGCAGCAATTTTTCACAGCGCCGGGAGTAGTCCGTTGATAGAAATGGACCGCGGATGCAGGATGCAGCGATGCTGCCTTACGGGCGCAGCTCGTACTTTTGCTACTTGGGAATTTTTTTTTTCCATTGTCGCTCCCCTCTGCCCTTTGGACTGATTGACCTTCTTAAAATCCACGAAAATAGGTCATATACCTACCTGGTCAGGCTGTTCACTCGATTTTGGAGGTGTGTTCCTCTCACAACCCAATTCGAGATTTTGGTATTTGTGCGAGCCAAAGCGAAACAGGTCCCTGCACATCCATGCCCAGAATTGACAAGATTCCTCTCTGAGGGTGTGAAATACTGCACAAGCTGCAGTATAGGAGTGTCGGAATGGTTGCTTCGTCGCTACTACCCTCTCGGTCTGGCTGTGGCGAGGCAATGGACCAAAAGCGACCCCCTTGAGCAACCGAGCAGTGACCTCGACCCTATCTATTCAAAACTGCCTTTCTACACCCTATCCATACCGTTTGCACCATAGCTGTCTTGGCTAGTACAACATGCATTGGAATACTCAAAGAAAGCGTCTTCCACTACCCCCCGCAAATGTTGGCAAAGCAGAATGGGGCTCTTTGGTCGCAGGCAGCCGGGGTGGAATTCGTCGAGATTGAGCGCCAAGTGTGAGTCATGAAGGCTACCGGGGTTCGTACAAATGGCAGCCTTGCTCAATGGGTCCACGATGCCTGGACAGAGTCTCTTGATCATGTGAAGAGCGCTCAAACGGTTGATGTTACTGTCATGGCTTAGGCTAAGCATTCATGCGCTTGACCTTTGTCTCAATATTCTATTTCTAAGCATGAAAAACCTGGATCGAGAGTTTGGCTTGCCACAGGCGTCCTTTGGTCGTCAATCTTTGCCTTCTTGCTAGCACTCGATATGACGAGAAGACTCGGGGTTCCGACGAACATGAAATTTTATCTTACGTGTCATCTTCTAGAATTTGTATGGAGCTGGATGCCTAGAAAAGACATTTACATCAAGCTTATACAACATAACAACCTAGGTAGTATACTACATACACATTTGCTCCAGACTTTGCTCGGTATGGCCACCTCCGCTCACTTCAGGGAAGCATTGCCAATTAGATTATCAAAAACAACAAAATTCAAAGACTCCTGTCCACCATCCTAACTTGATTACCAATCCCTTAGTTTACCAAAGCGGGGTCGACTTTTAGGAAGAGTCAACAGGCCTTGTTCAGCTCGGCTCATCCAAACACACCAGGCCAGGGAACCAGAAGTCTGCTTTTCTTCCACTCTTTATCCCCATCGGTTTTGATTAAACTCTATTCTATGATGTCGGTGGACGAGCAAATCAAACTCTCCAACTTCTCCAGCATCTTTTCCCTCGAGGGCAAGGTCGCCGTCGTAACAGGCGGTTCTCGGGGACTAGGACTTCATGCGGCATCAGGGTATGTATCTCTTTATATTCAGCTTGGAGCATCCCTCACTGAAATACTCTTACACATCTGCAGTCTTCTACAAGCCGGGTGCTCCAAAGTTTACATCACCTCCCGCAAGAAGGCAGCCTGTGACGAAGCAGTCGCAGCTCTCAATGCCATCCCCAACAAGCGGCCCGGTGCGCAAGCTATCTCTGTACCAGCTGATAGCTCAGATATGAAAGAGCTAGACCGACTTGTGGCTCAGGTGGCCGAGACCACAGACCGGGTTGATATTCTCTTTGCCAACGCTGGCGCTATGTGGATGGAGAAGTTTGATACCCATCCCGAGAAGATGTTCTCTAAGGTGATGGATTTGAATGTAAAGAGTGTGTTCTACACGGTCCAGAAGTAAGTTCCGAATCTGCCTGAACCTGGGGATGAAACACGATTCTCACACCGGCCTAGATTCACCCCTCTCCTCACAGCAAAGGCAACCAGAACGGACCCATCCCGTGTCATTATCACCGCCTCTGTGGCAGGCATTGAGGTTGGCACAGTTGGTGAAAGCGCCATACCATCTTACTCCGCTTCCAAGGCGGCTGTTATCCATCTGGCGAAGAACTTGGCTGTTGAGCTTGGGCCACGAAATGTCTTGACCAACACTATTGCGCCAGGATTCTACCCCTCGAAGATGTCTAGTGAACTTATCGAGTCACAAGGCGGCATGAAGCAGCTCGAGGAGTGCTCACCGAATGGTCGGCTTGGCAAACCTGAGGATATCGCTGGTTTGGTTGTCTTTCTCGGGTCTAGGGCGTCCAGTCATTTGAATGGAGCGGTCATTGCGACAGATGGTGGAGCTATGCTTAAAGGGAAAATCTAAACTTTTGATTTCGATTTCCTGTTGACACCGAAGGTCAAACTACGGAGTAACTTGATCAATGCAGTAACCAATCCTCGAATTGAAACTCATCAGAATTACGATCGGAAAAAGAACCATAAATTTGCAAGGAGAGTACATCAAAAAGTGAACATGTACGCATCTTCCGTAGGAGATCTCGGGTACAGGCGCCGGTCACTTCTGGGCCAAGGCGGATGTTCTCCACACCTCTCCCGCATTCAAAGCCACCTTTCCCCACCTCCATATATTTCCCATTGCCATGTCCAACATGGCCTCCCAGGAGCCCCGATATGTGGCAGTGGCCCAGCGCAAGCAAGCTGAGCTTGCTGCAGCCATTCCGACCGAATGGCGGCTACCCACACACGTTTTCTCTGAGGGGATGCTCTCAATTTCCGAGTCGATTACCGCTGGCCCAACAAGTTACCGAGAAGTCAGAGTGATGGAAATTCCACGGACTTGTGGCTTACTTACATCCAAAGAATTGAAAATTACAGAGATATACAATGTGCGGGGCCTTGTGGCGGAGATGGCAGAGGGGTCGGTTGAAAGCCGAGGACGTGGTGCGAGGGTTTTGCAAGGTGCGCTCGCATGTTAGCCGATATTCCGATTAAGTCACTCAGATATACGGTATATCGCAGAGAGCAGCCATCGCTCACCAACTCACCCGATATTTAACTGAGCCCCTCTTCGACCGCGCCTTGCAACAAGCCCGGGAGCTGGACGACCACCTGCAGCGCACGGGTACACCGATCGGCCCCTTGCATGGACTCCCAGTTTCAGTAAAGGACACATTTAATATTATGGGTGTGGACTTTAGCATCGGATTGTCTGCCCTGGCATTCAACCCCGCAGAAGCAAATGCCCCGCTGGTAGACCTGCTGCAGTCTCTAGGCGCTGTAGTGATTGCGAAAACAAACATACCACAAACGCTCGCAACGTTAGACAGTTGCAACCATCTCTTCGGACGCACGTTAAACCCTCTCAACCGTATATGGACTGCTGGCGGAAGCACTGGCGGGGAGGGCGCGTTGATCGCCATGAGCGGGTCCATGATCGGCTTTGGCACAGATATTGGCGGTAGCATCCGTATACCGGCCATGTGCCAAGGTATCTATAGCTTCAAGCCAAGTAATGGACGCGTGCCATTTGGAGATCAACAGAGAGGCCAGATTGAAGGCAAGGGCCGGATAGGGCTGCAAGCAGTAGCTGGTCCGTTAGCTCGCTCTGTTGCGGATATCAACGCCATCATGGCGGAGATTGTCCCTCGCGCAGAGCTATTCGGCGAAGATTGCATTCCCGGCGCATGGTTGGCACCATCAGTTCCGCTTTCTCTTGCTCCATCATGCAACTTCACTATCGGTGTTCTCAAAACGGATGGTCTCGTCACACCTCTACCCCCGATCACCCGGATCTTGACCGAAGTCGCGAACAGCCTCCGCCGTATACCCGGCGTTGATGTCGTTGAGAGTCCACTTCCACCGGTCCTACCTAAATGCCAGGCGCTTGCTGGCCGGCTCATGGGCGTCGATGATGGGTCCCACATGCTTGACCTTATCGAGAGCATGGACGATGACCTCATTCCGTGGCTGCAGGGCCGAATGAAGCGCGGCAAGGCCTTGACGGTAGTTCAAATGGCGGCGCTGCAGGCTCGGCGGGCCGAAATTGAGAAGGGGATGATGAAGATATGGGCGTTGTCCTCACCCCGTTCAGCCGGTGCCCGACGCGTCGACGCCATTATTTGCCCTGTGGCGCCACACCCGGTCCCAGAGATCGACCGCTACAATGCCGTTGGGTACACCTCGACCTTTGTGCTGCTAGACTACCCGGCTGGCTCGGTTCCTGTCCGCTCATTTACAGAATCCGATCTTGAGATTGGCCGGGAGATGGAGGCACCTGTGTTGGGAAGCTGGGATAAGGCTAATCGTCAGCTTTGTAAGTCGAAATTGACACTTGACTCACAGATGATCTTTTGCTAATTGTTCCATCTACAGGGGATGAGAAAACGATTGACCGTCGGGTCTACCTTGGGTCACCTCTCAGTGTGCAGGTCGTCACCCCCAAGCAGCACGATTACCAGCTCTTCCGGGCAATGGAGATTGTTGATCGGGCTGTGCAGGGCGGGAGCTCGACCAGTGCGAAGTTATAGCTTGCATTAATCTGTGCAGAACAACATGACAAAGTCATGGAAACGATCAAAAGTTGGAGCTCAGCATCCTACGAAAATCTTCGAGAGCCAGATGTGGTAAGAAATCTGCCAGGGAAATAGCCACTCGTCGGCTGTCGGCTCTCGCACATGGCTGATTCGTTGTTTTGGGAAAATCAATCAACTCGACCAATCAGTAGCTTTAGAGGTCGTTTTTAAAACTAAACTAGGGGCCCTGTAGCCCCTAACCAATTCATAAAAAGAGTAAAAAACTCGAGCGCTCCTTAATCGCTATAGCATCCTAGTATGATAGAAGACGCTGAGATCCTCGTGACAGTATGTCCAACATGGTTACAAAGGCATTCGACGTTAGGAGGCGGTCCTTGCCTAGCGCTATCATGCTATTTGCAGGCTTAAGCAATGGATGTGGTGTAATTTTACGGATTAGATGCCGTCGCGATCTCGACTAGGGTATAGGTGGGAGGTTCCTCTTTCGTAGGCGCTATCGACAAAGTCTACAAAGACATGGCCTTTCTCCGAATTGCCATTTGATTCCAATTCACTAGCCGTAAGGGCAGGAAGCAGGCCCGACGAATCTCGTATTTTAATATCCTCGCTACAATCCATAATTTCTCTTCCTCCGCTTCATCGAGGAATTGCTTCGAATACGATACCTTAGCTTGTTCACTAGTCCAGGTCTATGTCCGTCAGAGCTGGCGCATGTTCACGAACGGCATCACGGTGTAGGGGTCGTCTCGGCCATCCCCAGCGCAGCGTTCTTGCCACTTACGTCGTAGATCAGCTCCTCGACCATTGTATTCACACTCGACCCCATAGGCTCAAATCCCAGGCCCTGGTGGACGCCATTAGGCCCGTGGTGTTCGAACTCGTCTAGCAGTTGTGTGATATATCGGGTTCCTTCGACTGGTGCGACTTCGGTGATGTGGCGCAAGGTTCGTAGCTCGGTGGTCGATCCTAGGAGTTTCGAGACTAGGATCTTCAGGGCGACATATCTACTGTTTCTTTGGAGGACATAAGTAACAATCATCTATCCTATCGTGGGCAGAAAATGGAGAAACTGAAGTTTGTTCAGGTCACGGGCGAGCCACACCGTTGAGTAGGAACCCTCGCCAAGCTTCCGGATGACCTTGTACTGGCACTTGAAGAGGTCACCGAGAACGACTGGATGATACCCCCCTGGGCGGTAATCCTCCACCCACTCACAGGGTAAGGTGATAGTTTGGAATCTCTACTCGACATCCATTGACTTTGCTGGTGGAGTGGGAGGAGACGAGGTACTCATGGCTGCGATAAATGCATCGTTGTCCAAGTGGTGCCGAACCACCTATCTTGTACGAGTTGCAGGATTGGGGAAGACCCAAACTCGGGAGAAACTGGACAGTAATTCCCAACGGGCTTTGGGCAAGGCCTCCGGGGTATACCTTTATGGTTGTTGAGATTCGGATGTTGTTGCGGAACACGCGTCATAGTGCGCCCTACATCTCATTCGCGCCGGGTTAGCTCCGTCAGAGTGCATCCATAGCACTCTTTACATTTCTTTAAACTCGTTTATCCCCTTACCTTGAGGTCTATGAAGATGGCGTTGTTCATTTTTAACTGTTTCTTATGGTAGAGAATCTAGCAATCCTACTTTCATGTTTTTTTTTTTTGGAATTTAGTAGACCACCCTTGGGTAGTGACTATCACCTCGACTCGGTGGCCGATGGTGCTCAAGCACCGATTGAAGTCATTTGACTCTAGCTCCCCCAGATCCCCCGATCTATTGACTCGGGAAACAAACCCAGTTCCCTCAATTCCTCGGTGACGTTAGAATCGGCTTTTAGTCTACCTTTACCTTGCATGAGGCATGTTGAGGATCTTTCGGGTTAAGACCCGATGGACCCCCATCGACTAGACCATAGTCGATCTGCCTTCCTCTCGTCACGACGGGAAAGAATGTGCGGAGTGTAAATTGGCCCAGACACAATGGCTAACAAGCATTGCGGCTAACCCGCGATCAGACCAAAAATCAATCTCGCGATGCTCTTAATTATGGCGCAATCGCTGCGCTTTTGCCGGGTTTGGACTGGCGTCCACGATCCCATGTCAACGCTAAGGCAAACGGGAAACAAGTGACAAGCCAAAAAAAAACAAATAAGCGTCGAATCCACGTGTAATCTGTTTCTTACTGGTTTTATAATGCGGCCTCCGCCAATCCCTTCTACAGCTCTGGAGTCGACTAGTTAGACTGACCTTCTAAATCCATCCCCAACATGTCCAAGGAAGACAAGGAACTGGGCTATGTGCTGGGCACGGAATCCGATGGAACAGACTCTTTTGACACCATCACTGCTCTGGTAGCCGCAGGTATGGATTGCGCTGTGGTAAATGTCGAAGCCAGCTGACAGGATCCTTTCGTTCAGACCATGCCCATGAGATCAAGCTTCGGACGATGACATGGCAGAAGACGGCCTGCTTGCTTGCCGGTGAGCAGGTTTGTCTGGCTATTATGGCACAATCGTGGTCTCTCTCGTGAGTGATCGGTTCCTTCAAATGTCGGGTTGCGACGACGCTGACAGGGGTGTCTCACTCAGTGTTCTCGGATGGGTTCCAGGGATCATTACGATGGTCCTTTGCGGACTCCTATTCTGGGTCACGTCCATCACGATGCATAAGTATATCATGAAGCATCCTCATATCATGGATATCTGTGCGTCTTCAACGGTCCGAGACTCCTGGTTTCTACGGGCAATGAAAGCTAACAGGCTACTTACCGAAAGGCGACTTTGGATATCATGTATTTGGACAGAGCAAAACTGCCTACATCTTCTCCGCATTCATGATGCTTGCGAACAATATTCTTCTCATCGGATTTCACGTCTTGACCGGCGCCAAGGTTCTGAATACCCTCTCGGACCACTCATTGTGCACGGCTGTCTTCTCAATCATTGTGGCCCTGATGGGAGTCATCATGTCTATCCCACGGACCTTGCACCATGTTAGCCTCATGTCCATGTTTTCATGCAAGTAGCGGAGTTCTCTCCAGCCGTCCATTGGCTCTGACTGACCATCCCACAGCCGCCTCCATGGGTATTGCAATCCTCCTTTTCCTCATTTTCGCCGGTATCGAGAAAGCCCCTTTCTACGGAAACAGCGGCAACTACCCGACTGAAGGACCCGTGAAAACCTATGCCTTCCCCTTACCAGGTACCACGTGGGTTGCTTGCATGAACGCTGTGATGAATATCACCTTTATCTGGGTCCCCCAAATTTTGTTCCCAACCTTCATCTCCGAGATGGAAAGACCACAAGATTTCCCCAAAGCACTGGCCGTTCTCGCAGTGATCTCTGCCATCCTCTTCATCGTCCCTTCCACCATCGGATTCCATTTCCTAGGCCAATATTCTACAGCCCCAGCCTTTGGCAGTCTGGGAATCGTCTCGGACAAGAAAGCGTCATTCGGCTTCGTGATCGTCCCTACCCTGATTATTGGTGCAATCTACGCCAACGTGACTGGGAAGTTCCTCTACACTCGCATCCTCGGCAAGTCTCGACATTCCCACAGCCACACCGTGATTGGATGGGGCGTTTGGGGGATCATCATGGTCGTGATCTGGATCCTTGGGTTTGTTTTCGCAGAGATCATTCCCAGCATGGGTGATTTCCTTTCCCTGCTGAGTGCGGCCTTTGATTCGTTCTTTGGGTTCATCTATTTCGCCCTTGCATACTGGCAATTGAACCGGGGAGCCCTTTTCCGCGGTCTGGGGAGGACTGCCATGACGGTGCTCAATGTTTTCATCCTGATAGTTGGACTGTTCTTGCTAGGTCCTGGGATGTATGCAGCCGTGGAGGCGATCATTGCTGACTACGCGGGAGATGTCACACCTGCCTTTACGTGTGCCAACATGGCTATCTAAGGGGAGATCACTGAGTAGCTTTTATTTTATGACCAGATGAGCGATTTGATGCGATTGTAATGTTTGATGACGCTGCAAAGCCAGCAGGGCACTTCTAAAGAAAAAGGAAAGGAACTGGAATATCACTGGCCGGCGGAAATCCAGGGCTTCGGTCTATCATGTCTTTGTAGAGTCCCTGTGAGGGATGGAATGTTTTATTGTATCTTCGCGCACTGCAAAATCACCGCAAAAAAACTGCTAGACTAGCGCTCGACGCGTTATTCGACACTACTGAGACATTTTAATCACGGAATATAGAAGAATGCTTCCAGTTTATGACCGAAGAGTGCCATGCAGCCACTCTAACCCTGTCAGGAATATCAAAGCATTTGAATATCCAACAAACGGTTAATTCTCGATCAGACTCTTAGGAAAGCCAGAAGAAGTAAAAATCCTGACAACCCTCACTTTGACTCTCTTCCAAATCCCCCTCCACTCCACCTCCATCTTCTCCCTCACCAAAAAACGCAATGGCATCCATCAACCCCACAAATCAGCCGCTTCAAAATACAGTAAACCCCTTTCTCGACCAACTGGCCTTCCAAACATGGGTAGCCCCTATCAACAAACCAACAGGCCGTATTGAAGGTGGCGTGGCAATGATCCAATCAAAGGACCGAATCTCCACCACATGCGCGTGTTAAAAGGGCCTATCCATTCCGCCTAGCTTTGCGGCCTTGTGTGTGTTTTTCTTGAAGTATGCCGGGAGCCCGTTGAGGGGCGGCCGCGTAGTATCACAGCAGGATAATCCACCATGTTGGCATCGTTCCTCGACGAAACTGTTTCTCGGGCTTGTATCGTGGAATGCACCTGAGTAAGAGACAAGCACGTTCATGGCAACTGAGTGTCGTGCTAGACAGTTCAGGAGGTTGACTTCCACGTCAGTTTTCATGGATAGAGACGTCGGGCTGAGACCAGGGCGCGGCTTTGTGCGAAAAGCGCTTCTCATGATCCATGTTCAGTTGGGTTGAGTGCTTGTCCTGTTGAGGTAAAATTGTTTGAGGATTGAGAAAAGGTTTCTGCTTGTGGTTGACTGGGATTCGGTATATCACTATTCTGCATGAGGCAACAAAAGAATGTCTGCTTGATTTTTCCCAGGTCTCGGTAGCGTCGGTGGCATTTTGGAATACGCCATCCCACCTGGGATGCCCTTCTATATACATGGTCGTTCATTCGTGAATTGACTTCCAGAACTCCTCTTTGTCTTGAGAGTCCTATTTTGTCAATCGGGAGGTGCTGGAGTGGCTAAAGCCGCACTAGAGGGATCCATAACGGAAATCGCCAGTGTTTGATGAGGGCAAGTCCCGTGGTCGTTGATGTGTTCGATCTCAACCAAGCACCATCTGATACCCTGTTTGGTAGGTCAGATAGTCAAGATATCATTTTCACGAGCATCGATACCGTCTACAGTTTAAAAGTCACTACAACTTTGACTCGACTGGATATTGTCAATCATCTACCGAGACGGCAAGTAAGTCCACTGGTCTCTGTATGGATACCTTGAGATTTGTCACATTTGCTCAACTGGAAATTCAAATTGGAAACAATCCAGTCACTGTGTTAAACTAGTTGCTGAAAGGGAGCTTGAATTATATCAAAAGTAAAAAAGATGTGCTCTCCTTTGAATCAGCAGCGTGGATACTAGGCAATCTCTCCAACATTACGCACCAGCGATACACTCATGCCTCCACTGAATCAGGCCCGCATTAATCAAAATCGGGATTGCCTGGTCCTCAATCCACTCCGTACATTGAATTAATGGCCGACGAGGCTCTCCAGGCTCGTAGAACGTCAGAGGATCCCAGCTCTTGACGGGCTCCGTCTTCATCGTCACTTGGTTGAAAGCCTTCTGCTTCGGTGGCGCTGGGATAGACTGAAGAAGATCGTTCCAGTTCTTGGGATAGTTGAGAGCTCTGGTATGCCCAAGGAGATCCGTCGAGAAGAAGTTCTCGTCCGTCTCGGGGTTTTCGTATTTTGCTGACTCGTAGTGCATGTCTGTCACAACGTCACCCGTAACGTGGTGCTTGATGCCACTACCTAGACCCTGAGCGTCTGTCTGGACGAAGAGTAAAGTGTGATATCGTGGTATGGGCATGTCTAGGTCTTCGATTGAAAGTCTCAATCTGACTTTATAGACTGGGTAAATCTGGGAGGATGGCATCTTCAGGCTGGAAGTTGGAGATAAACAGGAAGATGAATTAGCGATCGGTGTAGCTGTCTTTTGGTCACGGAGCTAAATGTTTGATATTGCGATCCTCTGGTCTTTAAGAACTGATCCCCGCTTTCTTCTTCTTGCAAATAGGGTATCACGGAATGCAGTGCACCGCCCAGTCAAATTGGAAATCGCAAAAATTGTATCTCGACATCAGTGAGGGCACTTCAGATCTTCTCTGACAGCCGGTGTTAGTATTTCCAATAGGTCTGGTCTTATAATCTCGCTATACTTGGTGCATAGTGTGATTTTGATTCTTTTGCCTCTCATTTTCGCCCACACGCTTGACTGGACATACTCTGCAGGGTACATCTATGAGATGGTGTAGAATGACGTAAAGACAATCTGCACTAAAAACAGTGACTGATTTTGATTCTTGTCATCTCAACATCCAGCACAAACTAGTTTGTCGACTAATGTTCAAGTCCAAGTGTCTAAATAAATACTGGAGCCTTTTGTACTCAAGCTTAGTGACACTCGTGTCTCTTTTGACAGGGTTATACGAATCGACGATCAAACTCACTAGCCACGATAAACTCAACAGTAGCAAAATCCTTTTATGCTGGAGCGATGCAGCTAACAAGAGAAAGGTTGGAAAGACCGTCTGTGAGAAATGGATCGATTGGGAAGGTGGACATGTGACATTGACAATCAGGGAAGGTGCAAGGGAACCGTCCACTTTGGGAAGGTGCTTGGGGAATATAAAGGGCTCCCACCCTCAGTCCATCCCTTCCCTTCTTCCTCTCCCCATCCCTCTTGACCACCATCTCACCATAGTCCCTATGAGACAGCGTAGGCGGAGAATCCTGTAGCACCTGGGTACCTCGCCTATGCATGAAGACATCAACATTGCCAAGTTATTGAGGCCCATGCAGCTTCACCCACATCAAACCGGGCTTTCTCGTGTGAGCTCTTTGGCAAAGTCGTGGCTGAGCCTTTGGGCTCTCCATAGCCATTTGACGAGTCCCACGGAATACGAGGGGGGGGGGGGGGGGGGATTTTGATCACACCCTCTTTCATTGTACAGCTAGTCAGTCAGGTAGTCACCCCATCAATAAGCTTGGACTTGATTTTCCTCATTTCCCTGTATTCTAACTAGACAAGAGAGTTAATCCGTGTCTACAATGTCCTCAAAACCGCGAAACATCCCGACCAAAGATCTTATTCAACGTCCACCGGAAAGCCACACGGAGTTTGTTGCGCCAACTGATAGACATGCTGATATACGCCATCTTCCAAATGAGCGATGCAGTACGACCCTTGATCCCTTCCGGTAGGAAACTGTTGGAGGCACGGTCACCGTTGTGGGGTATTTGCATCAATGCCCGTTCGTCACCAATGTACGCCATCGTGCCCAGGTTGCGGAAAGAAAACGGCGGGGTCTGGGCCAGATCACCTTTATTCAAGCGATCAGCCAGCCACTTCGATTCTTGGTTGGTAGCCTGTGCCGTTGCAGGAGGGGCACCGTTCTCTGGCATGGCATTGTCACCTAACGCAAACACGTCCCGAAGAACGGCTGTCTGGCCTGCTTCATTTTGCAGCTGTACACGCAGATGCCCGTCGACAAGAAGGGGCCCGTTCTTGGGAGCTTTCTTGAATTTCCACGATGCGATTTCAGGATTTTGAGGTGCTTCTGAGGAGGCCTCAATGCTATGAACTGAGTCTGTAGGGAATGCCTCGACTGAATCAAGCGATTCGGTAATGAACTTGGGCATACCATTACCAGTCGCCCAGACACACATACCAACACCCAGTTCACCATCCTCCTCGGTTGTAAGAGTCAGACAACGCTTAGGATCCATGTGGTATGGCGGAGGCGCACCGGGCGCGCCCCAGCGCAAACTTTTGACATGGTGGGAGGTCTTGATATCAATACCCTCGCGCGTCATAGTCTCCATCGCATAGCGTGAAAGCGACTCGTCGAACATTGAAAGCACCTTGGGCGCAACATCGTACAAGGTGATCTTCGGCATTTCATTAAGACTCGGGTATAGTGCCATCATGTCGGAGTAGATAAAATCGCGCAGCGATGCTGCAAGCTCGATACCGGTTGGGCCAGCTCCAACAATCGCGAAGTTCAGTAGCCATTTTCGCATCTCTGGGGTAGTGAATGGTAGGACGGCCAGCTCAAAGCATTCCCGCACACGCCGCTTGACCCTTTTCGCGTCCCCGATGTCCTTGAAGAACATTGCATTCTCCCGCACCCCTGGTGTCCCAAACGTGCGGCTGACGGCGCCTACCGCAATGACAAGCTTGTCATAGGGTACTTCGAAGATTTCTCCCTGTTCCCATTGAAGATGTGCTTGCATTGGTTGCTTATTCGTGGCCTCCGGGCCTTCTTCGGTTCCTCGGTACTCTTCCGCCGTGCGAGGTGACTCGGTAACACCGCTTTTAACGACAGTTGCTTCGCATAGAACGGTTTTCTTTTTCAAGTTAACTGCACGCGCAGCTCCCTGGATGAAGTCGACTTTGGCGCGCGGGTCGCGCACGGGCTCGACTATGTTCGAGAAATCAAGGGATCCGCTGGCCGTGTTGGTGAGGAGAGGGGTAAAAACAAAGTATGAGCGAGGGGAGATTATGAGAGGTGCATAGGTCTTTTGAGAAAGCCTCCGCGAAAGGGTGTATCCGCCCCAGCCGGATCCAAGAATGACGACTCGTTCTTTTTTCGTGTCTAACTCCTGGGCTGTAGAGGGCTGTTCAGCTTGTGTTGCAAGGCATCTCCAGCCTGGTGTATGAATAGCGGGAGCAATGTTAGGAGGAGATTTGTGTGTAATATTAAAAGGGTGGGCAAGGGGATGGAACGGGTTCCGTTTGCGCAGGGTCTGGCGCCGCAGAGGGAGCATCGCGTTCAATGGCCGGGTTTGCATGATAATGCAGGACTATCTCAGTGTATGTCAGTAGATCGAAGGTGCTCTTTGTTTAAAAACAATCTCATTTCAGCACTAAATTATGCCGTCTAAATGCGGCAGTGGTGCTCACGAGGAAGGATTTCCCTATTCCGCTGACACATCGATGACCTCACCGTCTGCAGGGCAAAGAAAGGAGGTATCCGGCGCGGATCTCGAGCCTGGCCCACTCGGTAGGATCCATAGTGCTTCGGGTACTCGGGTTCCCGTGAACGTTTCGGGAATTGAGGACTGTTATTACTACTCAATCTGTCCAGCTCGCGGACATCCGGGACCCTTCGGAGCTGCGGATAAGAACGAGCTGCACGTGCCGTCGGAGACGATCGGGAGCTTCAGGCACATGCTGTCCACATGGCACTGAGGAGTTTTGACAGATTCATTTCAGCTGTAATTGAGTTTGGGGGAGGTTGGTGAAGAACAGAGGAGAAAACGAAGATATTATGAGTTCAATAGGAGCGTCATACGATGGGGTTGCGCTAGGGCTTGGCAATATCACATGGATCATACAAATGCGTCATAAGTTACCTCAAGCACCTCCCATGTTTAAGCGACTTGAGGCTTTTTTTTACTGTGGATTGATCTCGAGGCAACAAGGATACAACCAGGTCCCGGGTTATTCTCTCACGTTCTCTTCCGCGGTCCAGCGGATGCCCTTGTGTTCTAGGATTTGAGAACCCAGTTTCCTCGGCACTTGGAGTTAATCGAATTCAATCCTTTCTCGGTTAAAATAGGTCTCAAAAGTATCTAAGCAAATGGCGTGAGGCTTTGCGAACTTATCTGTCCGTTCGCATCCAATTATCGTGTATCGAGATTTTGCCTTCATTTCAGAGGCGGTGGGAAAGGCGGTGATGTATGTCTCAGAATTATGACATGCATGCGTGGCGTCTTGTGGCACAGTCCTAGTCTGAGTCAGAAGGTCGGATTTAGGGGCAGATTGCCTAATCGGGACGGTCTTTTTTCCTCCGCTGTACATCTTCAGCCTTATCAAAGTGCCTTCATTAGCCCCCCGAGTTTTAGGTTCTAGTAGGTCTTTGAATCGCTGTGTAATAAATTATTGTGACCCTTGTATTACTACACCAGGACCAATTCTTGGTCTCCGAGCCCTGATGGCGAATTGGCGTGAAAATGATGCACATGGCTAGGCAGATCTATGGTACGTATACTGTTGAACGAAATACAGCGCACTTTTCCACTAGACCATAACAAAAACAAGGTTCCTGTTTATGGCCTAGGGAGGCCGTATTTGAGGTTTGACATATACTTTCGGAATGACGACTCAAACGGCTGCCTGCGTATAACCCATGATATCTAAAGAGCAGCATTTTGCTTCTGTGCATATCTCTAATATCAGATCAAGTGTATTCACTTTTCGCTTTTCTTCGTCATTTACTCTCGCAGGTTGCACAATTTGCATCAATCGACCACTTCAAGATGGCTTCCTTCTACCAACTCAATCAGCCTTCCAATCTGTTTTGGGAATTTGTCAACGGCAATCTAGAGGATCATCCTTTCTTCGGTCCTCGCGGACACCACAGACACCACGGACATTGTGAACGTCGAAGTTCCCAGCGGGAGTCGCCGGGTAATACTCTACATTCAATGTTGAAGGCACATAAGACGGTTCCAATGACTCTGACTGAGTGTATCGCGTGTGAGTCGAATTCGACATACCACTGTCAACATAGGAGCAGTGAATAGCATGTTTGGTACAGTTCGTACATGGACATTGTTCATCGCACTGCGTTGGTTAGCAAACGCTCAAGCCAGGAGGTGTTCCTCATACCTTTATTCTTCGTGCCTTACACTGTGGACAACCATTGCGCGACTTGCGATGTGATCTCCTTGGGCCCATTATCAAGGTTATAAAAAAAAGGGAAGAGAGATCAATCCATCCGAGATGCGGAAATGGAGCGACGGAGACGGAAACGCCTCTACGCCCCCACATCGCTTGTCTGAGCCGCGTAAAAGCCAAGACGTTTCCTAAATGACAAGAAGAACGCTCGAACAAATTCTTTCAGTTGGAAGGTCTTGATGTTGGTACTTCATTACATTCGTGACTGGCGGAATCTATATGTGAGGATACTCACTTAACTGTTTAAAAGCAACACTAACTAACAATCTCTCAACTCATACAGTCCAGATCTTAGGACACATCTGCCGAGCTGTCTCGCATGACAACTTCCATGGAATCCCGTTGTGTGCCTTGCAGACCCTATTTATCCTGCTCAGCCCGCCGCTGTACACGGCATCTATCTACATGACCCTCGGGCGAACGGTGGCCTACCTTGAGGCCGAGCACCTGAGCATGATACCCGTCCAGTGGATGACCAAGATCTTCGCAACAGGAGATGTCGCCTCGTTTCTCTTACAATGCGCTGTTAAGTAAAGTCACTTTCATCAAATCAGACAAATGGCCAACCAGGGACTAAGAGAATGAAAGCTAAGTAACTCTCATCTAAGGTGGCGGCCTTGTGTCCACGGAAGGCTCCATGCGTGAAGTAGGCTCAAATCTAACCATCGGTGACCTTGTCATCCAGCTTCTCTTCATTGGCTTCCTTGTGATCGTCACGACGATCTTTAAATTCCGAATTTCGCGTCGGCCAACCCTCATATCATAGTCAGAGCGCGATCGAACCCGCTGTAATGGCTGGAAACAGCGCAACTGGTTCACCATCCTCATTGGGCTGTATATTGTCAGCTTCTTGATAATAGTGCGGTCTGTTTTCCACCTGCTGGAGTACAAGGAGGGTCACAATGGCCACCCCATGACGCTGGAAACCTTTTTATACATCTTTGATGAGTTGCTGATGCTTATTGCTATGGTCGTCATGAATATGTGCCATCCTGCTAAGATCTTAAGGGATGGAAAGCATGGAAGCCAGCAGTGCTCAGATGTGATACAGCTAAGCTAGAGAGCGAATACAGTAAGTCCTTTGGCTAGTTCCTTTTACCAATCAGACCATTTCAAATTCTCGTCCAAGCTTCTTCAACTCTGATCAGAACTTCAACAACTTCTCACGCTGTATAGAAGACGGGTATATCCAAATTTCCCCCAAAAAAATCGAAACAACGGCAATACCAAGAAAAAACATCCAATCATTAGATGCCATAAATCATATCATCGTGACCTGTAGTCCACACTAGACCGTAGATCGTAACTTTTTCGCACAGTGCCGCTGCTTAATCCACCAACGTATAGATCTGGCCGCCTTGATGTCTCTGTGCCATGTGTAGAAACAGGTAGTAGACTGCCACCATATCCATCGATACTCCTCCTCATTCGCGACAAACTTGTCGTTTTCTCCATCTCCAAAGCCTGGAGTATTGCCTCGCCCCGTTCACTTCTCGCAGGCACCTTCTCCCGGTTAGACAGCCAGCGCCGACCACCCACACGGAAGAAACCACCAATATCATCAACCATGAGAGCGACCCAGACAAGTGGAATCGAAATTGCAAAGCCAATACCAAAAGTAAAAATTGCCACGTAACCGAGGTTCAAATTTTCGAATTCTTTCAGGTTGATCGTGAAGATGGAGGCGATGAACGACAACGGCAGGAAGACAATAGTAACAATAGTAAAGACCATAATTGTCTTGCTCTGGCGGGCTGTACCAGCGGCCTGATCACGCGCAAAGCGTGCTTCAAAAGCGTTGGCGTGTTTCTGCTTAAGATCTAGCAGGTCCGTAATGGAGTGGTAGATGCGCTCGGCCTGTTTATCCATGCGGTCAATATCCTTCAGATGCATGTCGATCATGCGCTGCTGGTCTTTGAACCGTTTCTTGACCTCAAATTGGGACCGATGCTGGCCTTGGTAGGTCTCGCAGACAATTTCTTGGAAGTCAAGCAGCACGTTGGTTTGGTGCTCCAGCACTGTCCGGATCATGTTCAGCTCGTCTCGAATGTCCTTTGTCTCGGCTAGGAGATCGGTTTCCTGTCCGATGTCCAATAGCCGGTCGACGAAGAGTGGCTGGCCGTCCTCGTCGCAGTAGCTGCTACTTTCGTTCGTCCCATTGTGGGGCTTGGGCGGAGAGCTGAAGGAGCCGTTCAGCTTCCGGTGACTTTTCAACCAGTCGGATGCCTGTCCGGAGGCGTGATTGAACTGGTTAAAAAGCACGGTCTCTTTGTCTGTGGCTATACCGATGGATGACTCGAACATATCTAAAAACTGGTACTCTTCATCGCCTAAGCGGTGTCGATCGAAGACTCCCGAGCATCGATTAGTGATTATCATGGCCAGATCATACACTGATTTAACCGGGTCTCGGGTTTTGGAATTGATGTCTTCGATGATCCCATCCAGCACGTTAAGCGGGTCATTCTTGGGCTGATCCCATCTCTGCGGGAAGGCCGTTACAATCAGATTCGTGCCCAAAACCCACATCCACAGTTGATCAACCATGAATATCTTGGGATCTGCCCCCATTCCGGGGCTTTTTGTTTGGTAACGATACACCACCTGATCCTGATCCCGACTCTTGGTATCGATGTTTGGGTAGAAAAACTGGTCCAGCGTTCGGCGAATATGGAGGGAGGTCGTAGAGGATGATAGATGCGCGTCAATGAGCATCTCGTCTCTTGTGCGCCTTCGCTTCATCCCACTGGACACAAACTCCAGCATTTCCGCTCGTAAGATTGCATCCTGCATCTTTTGTCTGCGCTCTGTGGTCTCGAAGTGTAGATACGGCATGAACACGCAGACATTACCTGCAGAAACCAGAGGGTGAGAGTCTTTACAAAATGTTGATGAAGACAGGGGTGATGACCGCGCCTGTTTCTCACTCTGGCCCCACGGTGACTTCCCTTTCGTCTCCTGTCTGGGAGTTCCCGGTGCGCTGCTGGACTTGCCACGCTTCTGATTGTTTTTGCTCTTTTTTCCATGTGAGCCTGCCCCTTCATCGTGGAAGAAAGAATCCAGCTTGTCAGGTTTGCCGCCTGTGCCTTTTTGCTTGCGAATAGTGCTATCCATGGCCTTCGCCTGCACACTCTCGGAAACAGGCTCCTCTGAAACCTCCTCTTCGTGTCGCCGCAGCATCGTCCGCGGCGTATTCTGACACAACGGCCGCATAAAGTGCGAGTGCGTCCTTTGACCCCGATGCTGATAGTTGAAAGACTTTTCCAGTCCCTTGAACCCGTCAACATCATGCGCCCCTTCCTCAATAAAAGACTTGGTAAGCAGAGCTTCCACCCACGCCATATTGTTCGCCGGTAAGTGAATCCACCGGAAATCAGTGCCACGACTGTCAGCCGGCACTGTAGTAATAGCCTGTTTTCTAGGATTCTCCTGATCCCTCCCATAAAGCAGATTAAACACCGACATGCGCTTAACCCGATTCTCATTATGGAAATTTCCAAAATCAACAACAGTAGCATCGAACGCCGCACAAGCGTCCTTCACATCATCAGACAGGCTCTCAACATTGTTAAACGGCGCAAGTAACAGCACAATATCCTTCCTCTTGAACTGCGCCGCGCGCAGAAACGGCGTACTGCCAAAATTATCCCTAACCCGACGCCTCAGATCCGGTCTCTCGAGCAGACACTCCACAACCTCTTTATGACCCCCCTGCGCAGCAAGATGCAGCGGCGTGATACCATTCAACAGCTGAGCATTGATCTGCGCGCCTTCGCCGACCAAAATCCGGACAATCTCCACACACCCCTTATCACAGGCATTATGAAGCGGCGTCCAGCCACCATCACTCGCAGCATTTACAGCCGACTTGTGCGCAAGCAGCAGCTGCACGATATCCGCCCTGTCGTGGGCTGTAGCAACATGCAACGCCGTCTTACCACGCAACTCAACCGCATCGATCTTCGCCGGCCCGGGCCTCTGACCCTCCCCGTCCCCCTCACCAGCATTCCTCGTCAACAACATCTCCGCCAGCCTCCAATTCCCCGACGCACACGCCCAATGCAATGGCGTACGTCCAAGCTCATCTCGTCCCCCAGCCCCGTCAACAAGACACTCCGTCCTCAATAGCAACTTCACAGCCTCATCCCCCCACCCCCACCGACAAGCCTTATCAGCAGCGAGGTTATGCAACGCATTCCTCTGGCGCAGATCGCGCTTGTTCACATCCGCGCCGCGCATAATGAGCAGATGCAGGATATCAGTGTGATTCTTCCATGCGGCAGTCATGAGAGCGGTGCGACCGTCTTTATCCGCGGAGTCTGGGCTGGCGCCATGATCGAGGAGGAGACGGACGATTTCATAGTGGTCGCGTTCGACTGCGCGAAGAAGTGGTGAGGCGCGGTTTGAGGGGACGTCTGTTTTTGCGCCGAGGATGAGGAGATATTCTGTTGCAGCGACGCAAGCTCGTTCGGCGCTGCGCATTAATCCGATACGGAGGAAGTTGTCGGTTACTTGATTGTACTCTTGGGCGAGGAAGATTATCTTTTTGAGGGAGTCGATGTCGTTTGATTCTGCGGCGCGTAGGAGTCGAGGCTCGAGACGCTCGTGGCTGTCGCTTGTTATGCTGGAGCGGGAGGGCGGCATGGCGGGTAGTGGCGAGGTGAATTTATGAGGGGAGTCGTGATCATTAGATTACTTATCGTATGTTGTTGTGTATACGGTGTCGTTAATCCATTGTCGGTGGTTGTTTTTTTTTAAATTGATTGAGCCTCTTTGGTTATTTTTCCCCCCGATAAGGTGAAGTACGAGGTCAGAGGGAATTGGACAAAGCTACGGAGTAGACTTGAGTAAATCTCTCAAGTGACAACAGCAAACGGCCCTTGCTCGGTCCGGAAGAGATCTGCGGGCGTGAAGGTCCTTTCTTTTCTTGGCCCCCAATCTCATGGGGGAATCTGTAACCGACGGTGACAAAAGGGAAGAGGCTGTGTGGCTGATCCCTCTCGTGTTGTCTAATTTAGTGGGTTTGACCTCGGCATTTGCATGGATTCATGGATTGACAGGCTAGGTTTTTTGGTTGGGAAGGATTAAGGAAAATTCCATAAAACTCTAGATAATTCCAGGGTGTGGCAACTTGAAAGGTCCAATCTAAGAGACACAGGCCCGGTGTCAACCAAAAATAAAGAATCTGGTAACTCAAGCCAGAACCATGGATCCGGGAGAACTCAATGGCACAACTACAAATAAAAATACTACGTTATGAGAAACGTCGAAGTAAGTAAACCCTCGTACAGTGAATTGTACAGACATTAGAATCTTTATTTCTATCAGGCAGCTTCCAGCGTGACAAACTACAGAAAACAGGGGGAATCCGAGGCGAAGAGGGAAGAAAAGCAGCAAGAAAAATTAGAATGACAAGGTGATAATAAACGAAAAACCCCTCCTCTGGAGATACCGATGCCCATATGCTGATAGTTATGATGTGCTTCTCCATGGATGCTGCCCCCGATGAATTAAAGGTTCCCGCTTTTGGCTTTCGCTTCCCTGTGCATCACGCCGACCCAGCCTAGTAGTTCGCGTCACAAGATGCACATATCAACAGAAAATGGATCAAGAGGGTAGTCAGAGTCACACAGTTGGTATTCTGAATATGCAAGCCATGTCCTCATGCCATGAAATCTAATCATAGAGAAAAGACACAGGACATTGCTATTTAATGCTTCTTTTTGTCCTTCTGCGGGACTTCCTTGAGAATATCGTCGAAACTCATGTTCGGGTTAAATCGACTAAGCGGACGAGTGGGAGGCTCGATGGGAGCAACACCTGCGGGAAGAGGCAGGGCTTCCAATCCAGGATAGAATGAGTGGCGATGCTCAGATCGTTGGGCAGCGGTAGGCGAGCGGGTTCGTGGAATAGCTGGAGGGGGAGTTGTGAGCCCACCTGGGGCCATCATAGGGTTCGGGTAAGGATCCGAAGAGGACCCAGCCGACGATGGTTGGCCCTGGTAAGGTGATGATATAGAGGACTCCTCATCATCATAGGTGGCGTCATCCATCATAGGAGGATCGAGAAGAGCGCCTGCCTCGGCCCACTGCTCGGCGACTTGCCAACAATGACTGCGGCGGTATACACCTTCCACTCCATTGATCACTACGTCAGATGGCAAGCTGACAACACCAGCCCCACCTGCAACTCCGAACCAGCTGCGAGAAGTCTTAGTGTCGTTTTGTATCCAGGGAGCACCGCCACGTGGGGCAATGCAGAGGAAATACTCCACACCCTCATTGAAGTGCACATCAGGGACATCCACCACCAGCATGGGGAGGGCTTGAATGACGGCATATAGGAAGATCCACTGGCCACATCGGAGGTCGGTAAGATCAGTGACATTCTTGCCGTGCGCCGAACGACGCTCGAATTGCATGAAGCTCTCAATGAAAGGAGTGGGTCGCATGGCTTCCCGGGTATAAGATGCCATCAAAACAGCGTTGATGTCGGAGTCCTTGAGCTTTTTAGCACTCTGCTTGGCCTCCTTCTTGGCATCAAGCGGTTTCCGATGCAAGGGCTGCAGCGACGGAATCTGAGGAATGTCGAATGGAATGGGAGGAAGCACTGGTGGTGTGCTTCGGTCGTACTCGGAAAGAACTTGCCGCAAAGCACGAAGGGTCACTTGCTTTGGATCGGATGATTCTAATGACTCATTGTTCACGCCCGAGATATCAATGGTACGCGTCGTAAGGGACGTCCTGTCAACCATCAAATCGTAGAGATCGGTGAAGTCGTGGTACAGATCCAAAAGGAGAAGACGATTCAGCCCGTTTTCCTCAAACTCGTTCTTCTTTGATCGAGCCTTGGGCGGCCACGAGCCGTACTTCTGTCGATAGTACTGGATAGTAAAGCGGCGGAATTCTTGGAATCCCGTCTTCCAGTTCTTGAAGCGCACCACCTTACTTTCCTCGGACGTAGTCGAGTTGGCGACGCCCGAGAAAACCGAAGGGAAATCGAAATCTTCCAGTTTGCCATAGAGACCGCGCAGACGGGTGTCGAGGTCAATGAACGCGCGCTCCAAACGTTTCTGCGTGATGGGATGGATAAATGCATATTTAGGGCTTCGCAATTGCTTGATCTCATCGAGCTTTCCAACGCCATGGACAAAGCCCTCAACATAGAGCGGATAGTAGCGCAGGCGCTCACCTAAGACAATGGCCTCGATCGTCTTCTCCCTGCTTCGACGGACATCTGCAAGGCGCAATTCTTCACAGTAGTTGCTGAAACTGGAGGTGGCAGTCTCACCAAAATTGGACGCATCCAAGTTCGAGAACTCAAACCGGGCCAAAAGGACTGCGACGTCCATGAAGATAGAGAAAAGAGTGGATGACTTGGGTGAGGCAATCAAAGACTGGCCGAGCAGGAATGCGAAGAGATTGCGGAACAAAAGAAGGGTCTCTGTGTCTTCTGGAGTGAGCTTTGCTTGCGGGTTGGATACATCACAATTCAGCGGAATGGGGAGATAAAGATGGAGTTCCTGTGCTTCCTCAGTTGTATCTTCGAATGCCAATCTTTGGCTTCCCGCGCTGTCGTTGTCGTTTTCGGGCTGACTGTCCAGTGGTGACATGGGGGGAGAGGTTGTGTCGAGGGACAATGCTTGGGTTGGCTGCTCAAGCCCACTCTTACCATCCTCACCGCGGGCTAGATAGGTGAGGGACGGTGATTCGGCGAAGATGGTGGAATCGACCTTGAAGGATGGGGCACGGCCGGCGCTCTGGGGGAACAAATAGACATAGGTGTCGCCTTGCTCGTTCCATAGTTCCTGGATCTGGAAAGTAGCAAAACAAAAGATCAACTTGGCACACTTCAAATCAGAATAGACTCCCATATGCATACCTGTTCTCCTGTGGACAATGGATTCAGATCGTAAACGACTTTCTGGTCCAGTCCTGCAATCCAAGCAGCCGGAAGCATAGGAGTTTGCCGCTTATCGATTGAGCTGCCGCGCGAACGACCGGGCATCCAACTTCTGCGCCTCGATGAGGGTGTGCTGGGGCGAGAATCCGGGGTCGATCCTGGGATAGCCAGCCCTCCGGAGCTGGATGGCCTAGTCATATCGCGCCCCCTGCTCTGCGGATTGCCAACGAGCGAACTCGGCGCGCTGCTGGCCAGATCTTGGTTCACCGCCAGAAGTGAAGGTGGCGGGGGTAAGCCTTCCATGTCGAGGTTGTCAGGCATGGTTCGGGGCTCAGAAGAGTAGATGGCATTTGGGGTCGAGACATGACGCGTGGGTTTTGAGCTACTCTGGTGTCGTTTGTCAATGGGGTTTTCCGAGGAATTCAAGACTGGCGCAGACACGGTCGAGGAGTGGGAGTCCCGATCTTTGGATCCCAACGAAAACAGAGACGAGATCCGCCTCGCCGACTTAACGGGAGCCGACAACATCGTAGGTGGTATGGATGTTGGAGGATAGATTTATCGGGGAGGAAGACGACCCAGTAGAGAAGGTCAAGCCCGCATGGGAGCCCTGGAGGAATGAAGAGTTTACTTGGCAGGTGATAGAAAGGCGGAAGTTTAGGTGGCCGAGGAATGGATCGGCGGGAGGGATTGGAAGAATGACAGTAAACTTGATGTCTTTCACTCCAGTGCTAGGAATGGATGAGGCTGAGCTGAGATCCAAAACAAACAAAAAAAAAACAAAGCAGGAAAGAGAAATGCACAGGGAGAAGAAGCTCAGGAGAAGTACGGATTAATTTGATTAATCAAAAAAAAAGATAACATGGTAGCCTTACTTTATTTTACCTTTTAATTTTACTGTTTTAACACTAGAATACAACGGAATACATCTACCATTCATATAATACGTAGAGATGGAAAAGACGGAGCACCTTCGAACCACTTGCCAATAATAGAACTATGAGTGGTTCCCTGGCTGAGCATGTCTTGGATTGGACCCCAATTAAATACAGGAGAGATTTCCGTATCGATATACAACCAAATAGGCAATCACATTTACAATTCTTTCATACGTGAGAATTACTTGAAAATTGCATCTACATAATGTGTCAGCCCACTACATTGATCCGGGATAGGACAGAAGAAAAAAAAAACTAACTGAACATGGAGACTTTACTCCAACATGCCCATGATCATCCAGTAAAAGTCCATGTAGAAAACACGATCATGCCGCTGCCATCCGACAGATCCCACCAAGGTTTGCGAACTGGAGGATACAAGTGCGTATCAGGTTGGTATCGCCAAGACACTTTTCAATGACGTGCCTCGATGCCCATATATACATGTCTATATTATATCTCTATATTATATGTCTACTCCGTATATTATATCGATATATATTGAGATAACACTAGGGCACTTTCTACGTGTATATTTGAAAAAAATTACTACTTAAATTGTAACACATAAAACCTATCCTGACACGATTCCAATATATTTGTATATAGACATCTCACTATAAACCAAACTAGTCAATTTTGATGTTCCTGTACTTGTTTGACCCCCTGGAGCCATTCAATTCCCGTTCTCATATACGGTGCCCACCCGCCACATTCTATCCGTGGAAGCCCAAGCTTCTGCCCAAACATTAATGAGTGTTAACTTATACGTGCGCACCTAATATCCACGATCGTCTCTAATCTCCTAGCATGACACACACCGTTCCCCCCGACCAGCCTATTGACCTCCTAACCGGCTGGCCCAACCCCGCGCTCCTCCCCGCGCTCAATCTGCGCCACTCCGCCACAACCGTACTCTCCAATCCCTCCCTCGCAAACCCTGCCCTTCTCTACGGTCCCGATGAAGGATACGAGCCGCTGCGCACACACATCGCTGCATGGCTGAGCGATTTCTACCAGCAGCGCGAGCCCATCTCAACACAGCGCATTTGTATCACCGGCGGGGCGAGCCAGAACCTAGCTTGCGTGCTGCAAACCTTCACAGATCCGGTCTACACACGAAATGTATGGATGGTCGTACCGACATACCACCTGGCTGCGCGCATCATGGACGACGCCGGCTTCGCCGGGCGTCTACGTGGAATCCCCGAAGATGACGAGGGTGTTGACATAGCGGTGCTGGAGAACGGGTTGCGCGCCGCGGAAAAGATTGCTCTGCGCGATGGAAATACTGAGCCGGTAGGACAGTCCTCGACCCATGACTCAGTTGACATGACCGGGAGGCACCGTGCCATGCTACTGTGCCATCGTTTATTGAGTCCCGGGCTGACCTTGCCCCTCTTTCCCTGCAGAAAATGAAACCGCCTAGGCCCTGGCGCAAGATCTACAAGCATATCATCTATGCTGTGCCGACTTTCGCAAATCCCTCAGGGAAGATCATGTCGCTGCATAGACGTGAAGCGCTCGTTCGCCTCGCCCGCCAGTACGATGCACTGATCGTCACGGATGATGTGTACGATTTCCTTTGGTGGTCGGCCACGCCAGGAGAGGAATTCTACGGTAACCGTGCGTGTAGTCCGCGCCTTATCGACGTGGACCGCTACTTGGACGGTGGTCCACTGGATGAATGGGGACACACAATAAGCAACGGTAGTTTCAGCAAGCTGATCGGACCTGGGGCCCGTACCGGCTGGGCCGAGGCGTCGGAAAGAGTTGCGTATGGATTATCACAAACGTACGCGATACTGCTTGGGATGACTTGACTCTCCTTTTTTATTTTTTTTTCTCGGATTCGGAGTTTCAAACTGACCCGATATCGCTTGCAGAGGCTCTTCCCGATCGGGCGGCGCTCCTTCCCATCTAACCGCCGCTATCATTGACCAGATGTTCCCCACAGGCGTACCAAACCACATCCGTAACGTCCTCCAACCGAAATACGCCGAGCGCTACCACACTTTGCTATCGGCAGTCCTCGAGCATCTCGTCCCGCTGGGCGTCACAGTCCCAGCACCGGGCCCCGCCGCCGGAGGATACTTTATGTGGATCGGTCTACCGGCGCCGTTGATCGCCGCCGACGTAGTCCAGCTCGCGCAGAGCGACGAAAAACTGCGTGTGTCACCTGGTCATGTGTTCCAGGTCCCCGGAGACCGGGTGATTGATGAGGGGTTTGCGGATCATCTACGCCTCTGTTTTGCGTGGGAAGAGCCACCTCATTTGACCGAGGGGATACGTAGGCTAGCGCGTGTTCTCAATCGTATGACTCGTACCCAGGTCTAGGTTATTGTGGTGGCGCTGGATATGGATCCGCGCCACTTCGGAGCCACGCCAGCTGGACCAGAATACGGTCCGTACCGTGTCCACTAGAGACGCGTGGTGGATGAAATTTAAGTACATAGAGAATCTCCAAAAGTCGCCTCGCCAGCTTATCTAAGCCGTTCGAGTTGGGGTGTAGTTTCCGTTTCACATGTTGAGGCTCTGCATAGGGCACTATGCTATGATGCGAACCTGAGTTGGCCCATGTCATTTATGAACACATAACCTGACACGTCTTGAAACCTTGAAAGATGGACGGAGTAATCCCGGCAAAAACAGGGGGTAAAGTATAAGATCCGAGACAGTAGAAAGGATCAGAAGGGCCAATCTCGAGCGGGTCTTGATCCTGCCTCAGGGGAAGCAAAGCTTGGCATTGACATTTTCCCGTCTCTCTCTCTCTCTCTCTCTCTCTCTC